CCCGCGCTGCTGCACATAATTCAGATGGTATACGAATGCATTTCAGCCAAAATACACGTAGTATTTAAGCCACCAAGACAGCAGTACCGAAATGTTAAGTGGATTTTATGGGTTTTAGGGTAATGATATAACAGGATACAGGTGGTCCATCGAAAACGTTCCGCAATGAATAACGGCCAGGGTATTCTTTCTTTCAAAAATCCAAAACACGTCAATTTTGTTTGTGAGGGGGACAACCTTTGCCCCAAAAATGATTTCATTGGTAAAATATTCAACGCTCTGAGCGGGGGTGTCATCCTCTCTAACTTCTTTCAAAGTATAAATTAGAAGACACAAATGAAAAGAGTTTATTCTATATTTCCCCGCCCCGTTTTTGAAAATCGGTTTGAGTCAATAGAAAAATATGAAGAACAACTGAAATTTGAAAAGTTTATTAAAAAACAAAAAAAAAAAAAATGATAAGGATAAATTCTTTTGACCAATTTGAGTTTTTTCATATTCTAGATGTTTACGTTTTTTTTTTTTTTTTTTTTTTTTTTTTTTTTCACTTGCCACAAGATTAGTGTTGCGGTAGTTGCTAGATTGTTTTTCTCAATATCGTTAAACTGACCTACAATAGAATTTCCAAAAATACCAGCCCACACGTTCAATTTCCGAGGGTTTTGTGTGTGCACTTCGTGAAAAACCCTGGGTTTGTCCTGAGCCCAGTATCAACAGTTGTGTGCCGATTAACTACATCGTTCAAAAAGAAAGTACACTCATCCGAAAACAATAACATATAGAAAAATACAAATAGAAATTATTAACATTCGCCACTCGTTCACACATAGTTTCACAAAATTGCAAGCGACGATTAAAATTCATCTTGCTGAGTTCTTAAAATTTCAACCGAATTTCCAGGTAGAACTTGGTGTATTTTTAGGGATTAGATAATATATTATTTTTGCATGATTCACGCCTGGTCTCTCATTGAGTTAATTTTTGTACCAGGCGTACTATCATCTTGTATATCCTCAACGGTATTGAATATCCCTTATAGTGCCGCTTCTATTTGGCCATATAGATTTTCCTCTGCTCTCTTTTGTATCTTTATAATTAACTAGCTCATGGGAATTATATAATTAACTTCCTAAGAAAATAATTTCAAGCATAAAGGTATTTAGATGTTCATTGACATTCCAGTAAACTGATTAAGCCACATTCATTATTTTAAAATAAGTTCGATTATTTCCAATTTTTCTGCAAGTGATGCTTATATAAGTCTATACTTCTTTTTCTGCAATAATTGTTAAAAAGTTTAAGGATATTGAGAAATCCTCAACGCATGTCACAGAACAGCCATCTAGCAACTACTGCACCTGTGAAAAATGCGTAAACATCTAAAATAATAAGAAAACAGCAAATTACGAAGGAATTTATTCTTATCATTTACTCTATAAATGTTTGAATAAACTTTTCAAATTTCTAATCCTTTATATTTTCTCTGTCGACTGGACTGATTTTCAAAAACGAAGCTGGAAAGTACAGAGAATAGAAAGTTTATTCATTGCGATACCACTTGAACCCCCTTCCACTTTGAAAAAAATTGGGGGACCGCCGCTTAGAGGGTTGAATATTCTTGCAATCATTTTTGGGACAAAATTTTTCCCTCTCACAAACAAAATTGACGTTGCTTTCGAATTCTTTTGAAAAATTACCCCTGGCCGTTAAGCCTTGCGGAACGTTTTCGATGGGCCACCCTGTATAAAGTTAAATAACTCGGTCATTATCAGTTCTTATTTCGAGTAAATGGTGAAGAAAAAATAGCATAATAGATCTAAGTCCCTTCAAAATACTTGCACTTACACTTATTTCTGGGATACGCTGTATAAATTCGTTGATGTTTATTTAGATGTGAGAGAAGCAAATGTCCAGAGCTTTGTATAACAAGATTAAAGAAGAAGCATTATCAAAATATTTCTTAGATCGACCGCGACGGGGTCCCAGACTGGTCGACTTTAAATTCTGGTTTATCAGTGCCGTTTTAATTTATTTAAAAACGTGTAAAAATATGATGTAGATTAGACATTGGCCTTTGTAGACTACCAAAAAGCTTTTGACAGCATCGAAACCTGGTAATTTCTAGCTGCAATGAAGGACGCGAGAATCGATTCCAGATATTATTCCATTATTAAAAATATCTATGATAGTGCAACCATCCAAGTTAAATTAGTTGATGATCCTCAAACAGAAAAAATACCACCCGGCAAGGGCGTGAGACAAAGAGATACAATCTCTCCCAAGTTATTTACACTGGCACTTGAAAATATCTCCAAAAAATTAGAATAGGAAAATAGAGGTCTATACATCGATGGGGTACTCGTTAGCCATCTTAGGTTCGCAGACGATATTATCTTGTTGAGCACCGACATTCAAGAAATGAACACCATGCTAAAGGAGCTAAATGACCAATCCCAGAAAATTGGCCTTAAAATAAACTTGAAGATCAAGATAATGAGCGACAATAGCCATAACATTACCGCAGACAACGTTGTTAGTGAAAAATGTAGACCATTATATATATTTAGGTCATAAAATCAAGCTGGATAAAGGGAACCAAGATCCATTTGGCATTTGGAAATATGAGCGATACTTTTAAGGATAAAAAGGTGCCCATCAACCTAAAAAAAGGCTTACAACAGCTGCATACTACCTGTACGTATAGCTTAGAGACTATGACAATTACCCAAGAAGCAGCAGAACAACTGCGAGTTGCACAAAGAGCCATGGAAAGAATCATATTAGTCACCATGAGGGAAAAAATAACACCCATACACATCAAAAACACCAATAGATATTAAGCCAAAGAGTGGCAAGTCTGGAGTGGCAATGGATCGGCCATGTGGCAAGAGAGGATTCAGACCGATGGCCCAAAAAAGTAATCCTATGGAAACCTAGGGGAACAACAAGAATTGTCGGCCAACCAAAAAAGAGATGGGTCGATGATGCCAGAACAGTGGCAGGAAGACAATGAATAAGATTTATTAGAGAGATCGAAGAATGAAAAAACCTAGGAGAGGCTTATATCCAACACTGGATGGAACCAAGTCGAGAAAGAAAGATTAGACATGGGGTAGACTCAATAATGTATTGTTTTATTTTTACAGTTTTTTTTTTTTTTTTTTTTTTGTTATTAAAATTAATATAAAATATACAATAATAAAAATAGATAAATTATAATAATTGAATAATGAAGGCTAATTCAAATTGAGCTAATTAAATTCTTTCACATCTAATTTTGACAAGTAAATAAAAAGCAAAATGTATTTTTTTAAAAAACAAATAATTAGTTAAGGGATTGTTTATGAATTTCATAAATGAGTCGTCAGAGTCCGCTATTACACGTTTATCGCACGTTAGTCCTGCTTGCTGCTAATGCAGTATATTATATGTATAGTCACTACTAGATAAGTTGTGTCCATTATTTCCCGATTTTTGACCGAGATCTACCGCACTCTACACAACCAACCTTTCCAGAGTTTTTCAATAAATCGTAATATTTTTACTGTCAATTTAAGTTCCGCCAGAATCTCCTTAAATTTACTACTATTAAACAACATCAGTAGTAGAATAAATAATAAATAACATAAAAGAAGCTCATAGTAAAGACTGACGAATCCACAAAATTTTTCAAATCAAATTTAAATGTGTTATTTACAGTTGAGGGTTGGAACCTTTGCGTTGGTTATTGTTAAACACGAACAATAATGGTTGAATAAACACTTTTGGCTTTGGCTACCGACGCGCGTTTCATAACCATGTTAGCATCATCAGCAGATGATTATAAACTCTAACTAGTTTATAATCAACCCCAACTAGTTTATAAATCATCTGCTGATGATGCTAACATGGTTAGCGAAACGCGCGTCCAGTGTAAAAGTAAAAGTGTTTTGGTGTATTGTGGTGATTTAGTGTTTTTTATTTTGCTAAACTCTTAACTAGTTTATAATCATTCTGCGGATGATGCTAACATGGTTAGCGAAACGCGCGTCCAGTGTAAGTAAAAGTGTTTTGCGTATTGTGGTGATTTAGTGTTTTTATTTTGCTTTTTTCAAATGTGTTAAATGAATCGTCAAACAGAACTGTCATGTATCCCCACCCTAGAGCCCTTTGTCCGTCTACCTTGCATGAATACACGGATATCATTATACTCCTATCTTAATCTTTTTATTCAAGTGCTAGAGTGTAAAATAAATTGTCTGTGGTATATTATAGTAAATGAATGTATTTTACTACCTGATTAGTCTATGAGGAACATTGGCTTCATCCTGAACAGGCTGAAATTGGTAAGCATATAGCAGTGTTATATGTACAAAAATAATCGATGAAATACATCCAACTATTTTAGCGCACGCTCTACCAAAACGTTTATTCATTGCCCAGTACGTTAGAAAAGAAAGAAACAGAAAGTAGTACAGTCCTCCGAATAGGCTTATTCGTATAACTGCACAGAAACAAAGGAGTAGCATCCAAATGAACATACCTAAAAAAGGAAACATGTATTAAGTAGGTAGAATCGATACGTATTAAGTATAGAATCGATACCAAAACATGTATTAAGTATAGAATCGATACCAAAAGAAATTCAAGCTTCTATTGTCTGAATGTGTTATTTAATTCTTATTAATAATATTTCAAGTCCATTTTCAAGTGGAAACTAACCTAAATTGTAAAACTTATAAACGGATTAGCAATCCATTATTATGTTGTGGCGACTCAGGTTTCCGAAAAGCTTTATATTAAGTGTGTGGTTTGTGAATTTCATTTCAATTTTTTGCATAATATGGGTAAAATGGTAACGCACGATTTGGAAATATTTTTGTCGACATACAGAGTGATTTGGTTTGAGGAACATATTTTCTCAAACCAAAGTTGTATATTTTTAAATAGAATACTCAATGTGATACCAATTAAACCTTTAGTTACGTAATCTAGATGTGCGATTTTTAAATTCATTGTTGCCAACCATGGATATATTCGGCGCCGGACTGACTAACTGAATTTAAACTTTTGGTTTCCGGTCGGGCTTCAAAGGTGGTAGTTCTGCTGTAAAAAATGAAGTTGTCACATTTATTTATTTATTTCTGACACTGTCATTCGTTTTGAAATTTTAGTTTTGTATTAGAGTTTTTGGTTTAAAATGAATTATATTGTTATATTTTAAGTTAATTTTTTTTTTTCTAGAAGACCTTGCAGTCAAACATGCTCTTTTAGAACCTCTTTAGTGCGAAGTGTCCAAGATAACGTAATAGCCGCAAAAACTGTTTGAACCGCAAGCAAACTTAGCATGAACCGTAAGTTTCATAATTTTAAATAAACTGTATGCGAAAAATGTCAAAAGTTGACATATGATATGTCATTCTATTCAGAGGGTTATTTTCTATCGAATAGGCAAAAAAATACCGAGGGTGCTATTTAAAAATCAAAAGTTGTAGTAATTTGCGGTAAACAGGAAGTGACCGAAAACAATTGAATACGTCAACCAATCCTAATTTATGTCATATACTACCATGAAACATACTCAAATCTCGTTTTTTTTTATCTGAAAATAAAATGTTATAAGGGTGAGCCACTTTTGAGATGCACCTTGTGGTATATATTACATACACATATTTAATTTATTCGATTTATGCTGTGAATGATTTCAAATTTAAAATTAAATATAAAGACAACCCAAGTAACATTTGGACGTTATCTAACGTCGGGTATACGTCACGTTCAATAAACCCGACGTCGGGTATCAACGTCGGTTCGACCACCGGACAACCCTTATTTGCATCTAAATGGGGAATGCAGATTCGGGTCGCCTCGACGTCGCCCATACAGCACATTAAATCACATTTTTTACGATGTGTTTACATTATTAGATGTAGACACAGGGTGACACAATTCCCCCGATGTAAATATGCTACGTTTACACATTGTAGTTCAACACGTATGCACAAAGGTTAAACGTCCGCCTCACAATGTAGCCACGTATAGCATTTACGTATACACAAAGTAAGTGATACACAGTGTGCCGTAGGATTCACAGTGCTTGTGTATTACGTTAAAAACTCTGTTTAAGCACATTGCAGTTGTGACTGCCGCGTGTATACGTATGTATTTTGCTTCGTATATCTTGTGATAAAACCATTTTTTATGAACTTAATTTGTATTATAATACAAGTTTTGATGAATAACTTTTCGTTCTTTTAAGAAATATTTATTCAATGATACTCAATTATATCTTTTAGAATGAAAATTAGGAAGGCAAAACTTTTGTATTTTCCAAAAGTATCTTGATCGTAAGTTGTAAGGAGAAGCCTTTAAAATTGTTCCATTTTTGTTTAGTATTAAATGTACCATTTTTTCTTCCATAAAATGGACTAAGTGGTTAAAAATAAAATTCTTATATTTCTTTATATCATTGAACGCAATAGCACAAATAACACAATAATAATAATAATTTACACTGCAGAAACCAGAAACGCTGTAAAAGAACAGAATTTGTATCAAATGTATTAAAATATAACTACCTAACAACATACTAAAATAGTAAACACTGGTGTGACACTGGTATATCGCCATGATTTGGTGGACCTCGTTTAGTCATTTTTTCCACCTCTTTTCCCTCCAAGCAATTGGTTTGTTAGCATACTCATTCATCGAGAACTCTGTTGGACTTTGTTGTATTTTATTTCCAGATTAACAAATCTCACCCTTTAAATTTTATATGAAACTGATTATTGAATATTAAACATATCTGTGTATATTGATCCATCAATAACTTACCGAATATCGAAGTTCTTTTGAAGTAATTAAATCTTTCTTTTCCTAGGTCCATATTTAGATTTTTATTATTTCCAAATTAAAAAAAAATTATATTGCAGCTAACCTCTTTTATCATTATATTTAGAATATTTGGAGTTTTGATTCATTGGAGTCAAAATTTTGTAAATTGGGTATCGAGTAGGAATGAGTTTTTAATATTAATAATACCTTAGGAAGGTGTAACAAGGTATATAATTAAAAACTTGTGCTTACCTTAAAATCCCTTTTAAACTACACAAACAGAATATTATATAGAGCTCCAACGATAAAACAATAATGCTAACACATACCACTCGTAGAAAGGAGAAAGGAGAGAGAACACATAAGATACACATGATCGGTGTGTCTACGCTGAGGCTATCCTCGCGTGCACACACCTTCATTTCATGCTAGAATGTAGACACAACAGCACACTATTACAAAGTGTCTATATAGATATTTATATTTTGTGTATACGTCACATTTTACAAGGTGTGTACTATAGGCACAACTATGATACAAAGTATCACACATACATATGAGTTATACATTGTATGTCTCACATACCGACGTCAGATTTCATCATTTTAATTATTATTTAGTTACGTTACAAAAACTCTTTAGAATCCTGAGTGCATACGGTATACAACAACTAGTAAACACTGTATCATTCAATTCTATCAATATAAACCTGCGTGTATCTCATATGTATATGTGAGAACTAGATGAACACTTAGGTTCACTGTAACATATTTTGTTTCTCATGTGTCTCCCTTTTAGAAACGTGTGCGTGCTTGGCTTCATTTGGACGTGCTGTATGTGCGGTATCTGACCTAATAGGGAATGTAATCCTACCAATTACCAACGTCATATTACGTTGGATTTCTCTTCAGTTATGAATGTTTTAAATGTGTTAAACTTCAAACTTTGGTATGAGGACAGTATTTATTTTATTATTATTACTCTTTTATTAAAGTTCAAAACAGCATAGTTAGATTCTTTGGAATAGTGATCAAGGTTTTCTCTACATGCTCTTTTACTTTTTTTTTTCCTGCCAGATTTCCAGGCAGAGTACGGCACTCCATTCATTTCATTTAATAAATTAAGTAGGGTTATTTACAAAGTTAGCGTTTGGTTCGCATAACCTATTCTACTCAAATTTCCCTAATATTGCTTCTGTCGAGCGCATCTGAGGTAATCACAATAAAAATATTTTTAACATAACGCAACGTAGGTTTCTTTATTTCATTTAAATTGTTATACAGTTGGCCAAAATATTACCTCTTTAACTTTGTTGAACGAACTTGAGTTATACTACAATATTAAATTTATTCATAATTTGTTAAAGCACGATTGACACTTCCTTTTTGAGAGTAAATGTCAGAAAATATCTGAATTCTTAACGAGCAGATGTCTCTACGATATTAGTTATTAGTATCTAAGCTAAAGTTTTCCACATTTTTAAAATTGAGAATCTATTTTATATTCCTATTTTTATATTTTACTACAAATTTGAGAGAAAACGTGTACTAATTCCTTGTTGTGTATTTGTTTTATTTCATCTTCTTCAATTTCTTCTGGTGTTCTGATTCTTGATTCCTGGTTCAGTTTTCGAAATATCACTGATAGCACCAAACCACTTACCAACATTAAAGGCCTTAAAAAATGTTAAATATAATAACAAACCATAAATAATATCAATCTAAAATAAAAACTATGAGAGTGTAACAAGTATTGCACTAAAGCACACTATAAACACTTTTTTAAAATAATTTTTTTACTAAACTGTTAAGCCTCATAAAGAACATTAATGGAAATACAAAAAACATAAGGAACATTAATGCAAATTAATCGAATATCCGAACAAAATCTTGCGGTAGTCAGTTATATCCATAGCGATACTCTAATAATTAGATTATAAATTTTTGATTTCTATCCCCAATTTTTCCGGACGGATGATAGTCAAAGGCCAAAATGACATTACATAAAATTTTTAAGTGTAATTAGTGGCAAAAGTAAAAAGTTTGTTGACTCTTTCTACTAATTAAAAATTACTATCACTAATTTTGACGTTTTGAATGCTTAATCTATTAAAATTGGAGGAAAAAACTTCTATGCTAATGTAAACCACTAATTTATTCCACTAATTTTGATGTTCGGAGTGAAACTTTAGAATAAATTTGAATTATTGGTTTGTCTTATCACATCATGAAGTAGTTTCGATTTTTGCTTGTGCTTGTCATTTCAATAAGATTTTAGTGTAAAATTATTTTTGTGGTGTTTTACAATAGTTGTTTACAGTACAGGTGTGTTTATGAATATGATTAAAACACCGAGTGTGAACGATTAGAACGACGAGGTCGTAGACCTCGTCGTTCTAATCACACGAGTGTTGTAATCATGTTTAAACGCACGTGTCATGTACAACGTTTTATCTACAACCGAAAAATAAGAAAATGCTGTTTTAATTTTCGTTTATTAGTCGCCCACCTTTAATTATAAAGAATGGAAGAGATCCAAATTAACCCTAATAGAGAAACCCCGGAAGCACCTAAATAATCCACCAAAATATCGTCCGATATGCCTCATTGATGTAATCGGGAAAGTCTATGAGAAACTCATCAATACGCGACTCTTGGAAGAAATTAGGAAGAAACGAAATGGTATACATCCAAACCAGTATGGATTTGTAAAGGGGAAATCTACCACACATGCAATGAAGAAAATATCGGATATCGTGAAAAGAAAAGCTACTTGGCATAATGCTTTGATTTTAGTCGACGTTAAAAATGCATTTAATTGCGCGTCATGGGAAATAATTATTAAAGAACTTAGAAGATGGGGCATAAGTGGCTATTTGGTGAACATAATAAGAATCTATCTTGATAATAGATTTATAGTTCTCAATAGAGAAGATGAAAGAGAGGTATTCGGTGGCGTCTCACAGGCTCGGTGCTGGGGCCAACTCTTCTGTGGAACATATTATACGACAGTGTCATGGAGCTTACTGTACCAGGTGGGACAGAGTTGATCTGTTACGCCGATGATCTTGCTGTGATAATAACAAAAAAACTAAAAGAAAACAAAAAATAAACGACCTCGACCTAATGCAGACTGTGGATGATACACTAAAGATCATAGCCAGATGGATGCGTGAGCACAGACTCGAAATAGCTGTGGAAAAAACAGACGCGATTTTACTGAGCCGCAAGAGAAAAGTTGACCATATAAGGTTAAATTTTAAGGATATAATAATAAATTCAGTAAAGCAAGTCAACTATTTTGGATTCCACATAGACCGTGCACTCACGATGGGCCTGCACATCAAGGAGGTGTGTCTCAAATCACAACGAACTGCTAAAACGTTGTCCGCAGTACTGCCAAACGTTCGGGGCCCAACACCAGCAAAGAGAAGCAACCAAGAACGAAGCAACCAATATGCACGTAAATAAAAAAAGACTTGAAGGTGCACAGAGAGTCATGGCTTTGAGGGTCTGCTCGGCGTATCGGACTACTTCAACTGAGGCAGCCTTGGTGATATCAGGTCTGGTGCCCTTGCATCTTCTCTCAAGAGAAAGAGAACGACTCTTTCTCAAGGGTGAAGTACAAACCAGGGCAAGCAGAGAGATGGAGAGAAACCGCACAGTGCAGCAGTGGCAGGCAGAATGGGAAGTATCACAAAAAGGACAGATAAGATGGACATATAAGCTCATCCCAAATATAAATATGTGGATTAAAAGAAAGCATGGAGAGGTAAACTTCTATCTTACTCAAATATTGAGTGGCCACGGAAATTTTGGGAGTTACCTGTGTAAAATTGGAAAGGGGGAAGTCGCGGAATGCCGATACTGTGCTGAACCCAATGATACTCCAGAACACACAATGTTTGCTTGTCCAAGATGGGAACAGGAAAGATGTGAGGCATGCATGACGATTGGTGGCAACATCTCCGCAGATACCTTCTTAAAATCGGTAACAGAAAGAAGAGAAAACTTTGAAGCCATCTCAAAACTGGCCCAAAATATACTAGAGGCAAAATACAGCGAAGAGCAGGGGTTATGACAAAAAAGGAACAGTCCGGCGCTACTTGAGGAGATGCGTCCAGCGGGTCCAGGTAGACGTGGCAGGAGCAAGGGGGTGACGTTTGTAATGAAGTTCATAAAATTTCTGGGCCACCCTGTATATTGTATTAATATTATACTAGAATAATAGAGACTTGATTCTCTTTTAATAATGACAGGCAGTGGATTTTATTGTTAACTCATTATTGTAATGAACTTCATTAGTGTTTCTATTGTTGAATTAAATAAGTTAAATATTTAATTGCCATTTTGTAAGAGAGTTTTGATCGGTTTTGGTCGCCGTGGTTCGGTACGAGAAACCGAGACGTTTGCGCCGCTCTCCCTACCAGTGCAGGTTGAGTGGAGGGGAGCGTAGTCGAGTACTTCGGCCGCACTAGCACTACAGAGTTAAGCCGGAGTCTCATGCATCCGAAATCCGATGGTACGACATCCGAAATTTGAAGTTATCGTGTGAAATAAAAAAAGCCTGTCACATACATCCGAAAGTTCGTTCCGAAATTTGACAGTTTTAACATTTTTCTGCTGCGCTGAATAGAGATTCATGTCATGTTTTATTGGAGAAACACTTATAAAAATAACTTCCTCGCCAAATATCCCGAAATTGCCCACTTCCCACTAAACTTGTTTTTAAAAACAAATGTTTTCAAAAACAGTGAGGTTAAAAAACACACGATATCGTACAAAAGTTAAACAAAATTTAACTTTATACGACGTCGGATGATTAGTTAAAATTATCGGATAAAAATTGTTGTCAAAATATTTCGACCAATAGGAGCACCGTCGGATCGTCGTGTCATCGGATTTCGGATGCATGAGACTCCGGCTTTAGTTAGTGGTCGCACGTGAACCAGTGAGGTTCGAGTCCGGAGTGCCCTGCCAAGTGTCCTGCTGCCAGCCGCCTGCCGCCGTATTGTATAAGGTAAGCACCCACCGCCAACGTGATCGAGAGTAGGTCGTATTCTTTTTATTGTTAATACCGTTTACTTTACTGCCTTGACGCGTTATAGGGATAAGGGAGACAGAGATAGTTAGAACGCGCGATCGCAAAGGCCGGCAAAGCTTGTGTTCGTTCAGGGCCAACTGTCCTCTAGCAGGTGGGGGAGCTGAACGGATCACGGGGACGCGAGGAAAGCGCGCGATCGCAAAAGCTGGCAAAGCTTGTATTCGTTCAGGGCCAACTGTCCTCTAGCAGGTGGGGGAGCTGAACGGATCACGTGGACGCGAGGAAAGCGCGCGATCGTAAAAGCTGGCAGAGCTTGTGTTCGTTCAGGGCCAACTGTCCTCTAGCAGGTGGGGGAGCTGAACGGATCACGTGGACGCGAGGAACGATTTCTTTTGTTAGGGGAAAGAAGGAGCGTGAGAGAGATAACGAGCAAGGTGGTACGAAGTAAACGCACGGGTCGCGAATGTTCACGGAGCTAAGACAGGACCTCGCCCAAATCCCAGAAGCGGGTTCTGTAGCCCGCGTAATTTTTGGTGTGTCGTCCGGACGACACCCTGCATCAGTGACGCTGAACGGGATCTCGCCGAAGTCCCGAGGTTGTCCTGACCGGGCGGTGTGTGTGCGGCCTGCGTTTCACGAAACGACGTACCACTCGCCGAGACGTCGCTAATTTCATGATCCAGGGCTCGTGTTTGTATATCCCACAGGACGCTGTTAATTTCGCGATCTATCCGGGGCTCGCGTGTGTGATTATCCCACAGGACGCCGATTATTTTTGCGATCGATCCAGGGCTCGCGTGTGTGATTATCCCACAGGACGCCGATTATTTTTTCGATCGATCCAGGGCTCGCGTTTGTATATCCCTCGGGACGCTGTTAATGTCGCGATCTATCCAGGGCTCGCGTGTGTGATTGTCCCACAGGACGCTATTATTTTTGCGATCTATCCAGGGCTCGCGTTTGTATATCCCTCGGGACCCCGTTAAATTTAATAGGACGTCATTTCGGGAACGCGTTTTAATTCACGGGATAGAACCAGTCAGAGAGTTACATATCGGGAATAGTCGATCAAAACTCTAGAGGTACACGGCTGTTAGTGTAAATTTTGTTCTGCGAGGTACTAAGTATTTACTTTATTTTTATTATTGTAAACTTTACTTTACTTTACTTAATTGGTTGGTTAAATAAAAGCCTAGTGTTACGTTATAGTTAATTGTGTGTTTTATTTTCTTTTCATCTCATCACTCCCTGGTGTCTCCACTGTATAAAAGCTACCCGTATAGGCACTAGTGTTCTCTCAAACACTTTAAACATTGGGATGGCGCCCGAGGAACCGAACCAAGGCAACTCGACGTCAGTGACCTCTCTCTAAAAACGGGGCCTCTCACACGTTTAGTGGGTAGTGTCCTCCAGACAGCTTAAGGAGAGATTGAGTCCCACACTCCGTACGTAAAGGTATTTTAGTATTTTACACCTCCAAAAAAAAACCTTTAACTATGACATTTGTCACATTTTTTCAATTGTAATTGTGGGGAATTGTTACCTGCTTCGGACTATAGTTACAAACGTTGTTTATCAAGTAGAGAGTTTTTTTCTGAAAAGTCAGTTTGCCCTGTCAAGTAAACGCGAGCACTTTTTGCCCAGAAAAATAATTTTAAAAATTACGATGAGCGATTTCGAAAGTCTCCCTTCATATGTAGAAGTTGCGAACAGTACGTGCCACGGAATCATTATTGCCGGAAAAGTCGCGATTAAAATATGAAAAAACATACAACCAGTTTTTGACATGGTGTGATGACAAAAAGGTGAAAAATCAATGCAATGAAAAAGTAATTTTAAAATATTTTGAAAATCTTGCACGGAAATAACAACGTATCAAGTCTATGGACGTTTTATTCTATGTTGCGAGCTACAATATCCCTGAAGAAGAACGTCGATATAAGTAAATGCCCAAATCATTGCTTTCCTCAAAAGAAAATCAGAGTCCTACCAGCCTATTAAATCAAGGTCTTTCACAAGAAATGATTTAGAAAAATTCCTGAAGGAAGCTGATAACAAACAATTTATGCTTATGAAGGTAAAAATTACAATATTTTATTTCTTATAGCACGTTAATGTTAACATCTCTGTTTTAGGTTGCATTAATAATTGGAACCGCAGGTGCGTGTAGAGTAAGGACGAATTAACTAAATTACTTGAAAATGTGACTGATGAGGGTGCCCAATTTCATGTAAGACTGCCAAACACGAAAACACAAATTTTAAGAGAGTTTTGCTTGACATCAGGAGGCATAGAAGGTATAAATTTGGTAGAAATGGTGCGAACCTTTTTGTCTTTACGACCACCTCATACTCCGCATGGTAGATTGTTTGTTTTCTTTAAAAATGGGAAATGTACAACTCAACCCGTTGGCATTAACAGGTTTGGGACGATGCCTAAAAAAATGCTTGTTTTTTGTGCCTTAATGAACCGGGGAAGTATACAGGACACGCTTTTAGACGCACATCTGCCTCATTGCTGGCGGACTCGGGGGCAGATCTACTAATGGTTAAGCGTCATGGAGGTTGGAGAAGTAGTTCCGTTGCAGAGGGATATATAGATACATCAAAAGAAAACAAGAAAATTGTTGCGCAGCACATTTTGAGATCAAGAATCGCTGAGGAAGCATGCCAGCCTGAGTGCGAGCCAAACCGATCAACAGCCCAATCTATTTCAGTTAGACCTTCACTATTATCATCATCATCATCATCAGCAGCAAGAATTCTTTTGAAGAAGTGTAAAAAATGTGTTATTAATATTTATAATAATTAGTAGTAGGAATTTGTATCAAAAATTTATATATTAAGATGTTCGTAGTTGTTTTTCATTATTATAAAAACTAGTTGTGTTATAGATTCATAACACCACTAGTTGTGTATATGAATCTCATAACGTAAGTGAAATACTAAAAAATAGTGATGTAAAAACGTTATAACTAAACGGTTGTAGATAATAGTTATTTACAGTACAAGTGTGTTTATGAACATGATTACAACAACGAGTGTGAACGATTAGAACGACGAGGTCGTAGACCGAGTCGTTCTAATCACAAACGGTTGTAGATAAAATTACATTACATCAGATGTAATGTATCAAAATTAAATACTCAAAAATTACAAAAATCAAATTACATACTCAAAAATTTACATTACACTCAAATGCAAAAAAACGCAACTGAGAAAATTTTGGTTAAATTTGAAGTGTTTGGTTTGGTTAGTGTTATTTTTATTATTTTTATCCCTATTTTCATGATTTTTTTAGCAAACTGTATATAATTATATCAACTTTAATTTGTAAACCAAGTTTTTTAAAAACTTCAGTATTTGGAATATTATACAGGGTTAATCGAGGGGTTGTTTTTTATCCTAAATTTAAAACACCCTCTGCAATTTTCTTTCGTGTGTAAATTTTCCTAAAATATAATTTTACGGTCAGAACCATGACTCTTGGGCATTTTATTTTTTGATTCATGTCAATACATGCTTTGGTTAATTTTTAGTAGCGGAATGAACTGATCACGATCGCATAATTTGCAATTTTTTCAATTATCATTACTTTTTGATGTAATTTTTAAATATAACGATATGGTTTTGGTGACCATTGTCATAACGTTGCATTGGATACTTTATACTAAATTAAAAAAAAAACGTTAAAGACTATCGATACAGTCCTGGTTTTAATAAACATTCATAACGATAACAGAACTAACGATATTAAAGAAGACATCTGTTATAATACTCAAGTAAGTATACAAAGAGAAAAAAAATATTGTAAAAATACCCTAATATATACTTTCTATTGCCTCCCTTGGCTGCTACAACTGCCTGTAGACGTCAGTTCATACTGTCACTGAGATTGCATATATCATATTGAGTTATGCTTTCCTATTCTTCTTTAAGAGCCAAGCGAAGGTCATTTAATGAAGCTGGTAACGCTTCGCGACCTCTAAACCTCCTGCCGAACATTTCCCAGTCGTCGAACATGATGAGCAGTTCATAGCAGAAATATTGAAAAATAACTTGAAAGAAATAATAATTGAAAAAATAGCAAAATAAAACACTAAATCACGACAATCCACCAAAACACTTTTACTTTTACACTGGACGCGCGTTTTGCTAACCATGTCAGCATCATCAGCAGATGATTATAAACTAAAATACAATCTACAATTGGAGTATTTATATACTCGCTCAGTGGGCACAGAGAGGGCGTGGCAAGATCTAGCCAACCGAGTCAGAACCCACCGAGCGTAACAGTTAGATTTCCGGCACTAGAGTAGTAGGAACAACGAACTTGAAGGAATTGGACCGTTGTCTCTTTTCACACTATCTTTACATTTATTAATTCTGATGCTTTCATATGCATCTAATTGCCGGTAATTTGAGACTTGTTTAAGTAATTTTAAGTTATTAAGATCTATACAATGTTCTTTATCAACAATATGTTCGGCAACGCAAGATTTATCAGGTCTGGTTTGGTTTGGTTTGGCCATATCTTATCTGCGCTAAATGTTTTTTAAATCTAGTTAATATTGATCTTCTAGTTTGCCCAACATATTTCTGATTACAATCTTTACAAGAAATTTCATAAATACCCGACCTTTCCTGTAGAGGTGTTTTATCCTTTGGATTAATTAATAATTGTTGTAATTTATTGGGGGTATTTATGAAATTTCTTTTTTCTTTTCTCCGTTATGTTTTTTTTGTATCTGAGTGTGTATCATCTATACATGTATATGTAAAAGGGTATTTTCACCTGGTAATAACCACTGTATAGCAGTATTTCCGCTTGGCAAGTCACGAAACTGAATAACTCCATATGTACGCAGAGCTGTCTCCATGAAGCTGCAATTCTAAAATTCAATATGATTTAGCAATATATTAAAAATAGTGATGAACAAAAAATCCAAGACCGTCACCTTGGTTTTGGTTTTGCAGGGTCCGTTCTTGGTCTTGGACTTGATGCAAGACTCTAGCAGGTGTTGCACTTTTGTATACATTTCTACTGAAGGTAATTTCTATGTAGAAAATCTTTAAAAATAGTTTTACAAATATCTTGAATTAATTAATTTAAAAAAACTTAGAACTTAAAAAGAAAGAAACAATGGTTGTCTGATTAAAATTTCTATTTTTCAATATTAAGTATTAGTACTACACCGATCATTTATAATACAGTCTGTTCCATAACCGCGCCGACCTGGACATCCCATGTAAATTTTAAAAATGATGAATAAGTTCTACCCATTTCATTTTACAAAAAAAAAAAAAAATTGAAACTTTTTAAAGAACCCCTTATAATGAAGCAAATTGTTCATTTTGAATGATTTATACGAACTTGTTCTTGAACCATGAGAGATACAAAAATACTAAGATGAAAAAAATAATACGGTTGTGATTAGAATCTGATTTGAAATACTCTAAATACAAAAATTTTCATTTTTTAGTTCTCCATCTATTGAAAAAATAATATAGAGGGTGTTCCAATTAAAAAAAACGAAGAAAAATTATTTTATATTTTAGAAAGTTTGGCGTAGAATTTTGAACATTCTGTATGATTTACGATTTCCATATTTATAGCAAAATAAGTACAGATCATCTAAAGTAAATATCTAATATAGTTTTGATTTCAGGACAGTTCTTGTATTAATATTTTTTTAAGAAAGGCAGAAAAATATATAATTTTTATTTATTTATTAATATCTCTGAAATTATCGAAATATATTTACTCATATCTTAGGATTATGTAAAGTGATCTAAAAGGAAGCCAAAAAAGCAATAATAATAACACCTATTTAGGCCACCCTATAAAAGTTAAAATATTTTTCTGAAATACATCCTAGTACATAATTTAGGTTTGCACTTAAACAACATTTCCAAGTTTTTTTATTCTAGGAGCTACAGATGCCCGACGCACTATTGCCAGACCCTGTAAAAAACATTATGAATTTTAAAATTTGTTTTATTTCTTATTTACCATGCATTCAACTGAAATTATCTTTTATTAATTTTCAAATTGCAATTTTCGATTTGCTTGAAACTTATTATAAACAAGTTTTAATTATAAACGCGCTAATACCCTGTTAAACTTCTATTAAAATATTTCTACTTACCTTCTAATAGTAATTTACGATCGATAAGTGACATAAAATTGATTATTAATGAAAGGAAATTACCTCTATTTCGTAGCCGGTCGTCCGTGGGAAGAACAGGATGAAAAACAAACCGAAAACGGACAAAGATGTCAGCAAACTGACAACAACAAACATCTTAACATAAACTCCCGTTTCTCGCGCCATTGACACTGGGCTAGGCACCGAGAAAAAGGGCATGTAGAGGGCCATCAACAAATAAATATAAGTTGTTATCGTGGGCCGTAAGTACAAAACTGAAAAAAAATAAAACGTATATTACAACCGACTTATAAGAGATACCACTTAAACTTTTAGCTACGTAATCCAGGTCGCAATTTTTAAGTTCATTGTTGCCAACCATAGACATATTTTGCGCTGGGCTGACTAACTGGAATTTAAATTTACCGCTGGGGATTCAGGTGGTGGCTCTGCTGTAAAAAATGTCAAGTTGCCACATTTATTTATTTATTTCCTGACATTCTCATTCGTTTTGACACTTTAGTTTTGTATAACGAGTTTTTGGTTTAGGTAAATGAATTTTGTTGTGATACTTTAAGTTTAAAAAAAAATACTAACAGACTTTGCAGTCTAACACTGTTGTTTTAGAACTTCTTTTAGTGCGAAATGTACAAGATACCTTAATAGCCAATGCAAGAAACTCATCGCAAGGGAACTTTTTGAACAGTAAAATGGTAGAAATGGCCCTTTATATTCCTTAAGTGAGTTTTGTTGATTTAAATAATAACTGTTTATACAGGGTGTCCCAGAAATGAGTGCAAATATTTTAACTGGTAGTATAGTTCAACCCCAGAAACACACATATGAGGGTTTTTTTGCGAAAAGAAAATTTTGAAAATGTAAAATTTTTCTTGACATTTTCCGGGAAATTTGGAAAAACTTTTTAGTGCCACTTGTTTATTCACCTGAGATTTTTTACGATGTATCTAAACCTTGCAGTGTTGCAACCTCCTATGTTATCCACATTCTACATAGTTCTACATTTATAAATTTATAGACATAATATATTTCTACTCAAAAAATTAGATAATGTTAAATTTAATCTTTTATCAGTGCTTATTGTTAATAATTATAGAAAAAAAAACACATGAATTATTTTTAGTACTTACCCTTTTAATGAAACTTAACAAAAACCACCGAAAATTAACTAAAACATTACGTTTATGACGTTTACGAAAATCTTTGTTATGCTGCAAAATAACTTTTTGGAATCAATTTAATAAAATGATTCATCATATTATTCACAATTAGGTCACAAAAAAGAAATTCCTAAAATGTTTATCGCAATTTAGAATTCATTATATCGAAAACAGCCCTACGAATAATCGATTCATTTTTGTTTTGTTTGTTTTCTTTCATGTTTCTCTGTTTTATTTGAATCACTGATTTACAAAACACCTTGAAAAGCGCGCTTTACTTTGAATACCTTTCTGAATGAATAAATGTTGAGAATTATTGTCTCTTATCGCCACTTTACGAACTACTTTCAATCTAAGAAAATAGATGTTTCACTCAACAATTTTAAATACGTATTTTGTTTTTTCACTATTTTTTCGCTCTATTTCGACAATTCCATCGACAGCACAAACGTCGACCAAGAGTGCCGCGTGTGAACTGGTACTGGTCGGACTGATGACTGGTCCTTTGTGGCGCCGCGCCGTGCCGCGCCGTCGTGGCGGGCTTGCGTCAGACGACGATGTTAAGCAACGTTGCCGTAGTTACAATAATTTCAAATTCAAGACATTCGTAGCAATCAAATTCGTATTAAATTTTAAAAATAAAACAGAGAAACATGAAAGGAAACAAACAAAACAAAAATGAATTGATTATTCGTCGGGTTGTTTTCGAAATATTGAATTCTGAATTACGATAAACATTTTAGAAATTTCTTTTTTGTGACCTTATCAATAATCAATTCATTTGTGTTTTGTTTTTTTTTCATGTTTTTCGGTTTTATTTTTAAAATTTAATAAGAATTTGATTGCTTCGAGTGTCTTGAATTTGAAATTCTTGAAACTACGGCAACCTCGCATGACGCAAGCTCGACACGGCGGCGCGACAAAGGAGCACTCAGGAGCAGTTACCAGTGATCTTGGCCAACCGTTGGGCTGTCGATGGAATTGTCGAAATACATCGAAAAAATAGCGAAAAAACAAAATACGTATTTAAAATTGTCGAGTGAAACATGTATTTTCTTAGATTGAAAGTAGTTCGTAAAGTGGCGGTAAGAGATAATAATTCTCAACATTTATTCATTCAGAAATGTATTCAAAGTAATGTGTGCTTTTCAAGGTGTTTTGTAAATCAGTGGTTGAAAATAATATGTTAAAAATGGGGACTGTTATTTTAGCAGTTATTTATAATAGCATGTACAAGTAAAGCAGCCCACATCGAAAAAGAGAACTGTCACAGTTACATCGATCTGTCATAAGTATCTTTTTTAATGTTGGGTAAGTTTTTTGATTTAACTTTTTTAACTTTTAAATATTTAACATTTAATTTATTTTATGTAATAATATCACTATCTTAAAAATGTAATGCATCTCTGCAAACTCCTCAGATGTTGTGATTTTATGACTTACTTTTAAACATATACTCTCTTGTCCATATGGCAACACAGTGCTTCGAATTAACTGAAATCCGGGCTTGATCTGGGTAATTAGATGTAGTTGGCGATATCTGCCGGCGGTTCTCAAAATGTTGCGATTATTTTTTTAAATTTTCAAAGTTAAATAACTCGGTTATTTTCAATTTATTTTAAAAATGGTAAAGAGAAAATATGTTTATTTTGACCAGATCTACCACCCCTTAAAATATCTGCACTCATTTCTGGGACACCCTGTATATTTATAATTGATTTATTTTTGTTTCCTAAACTATTTTGGTCAAAAGAAAATATGTAAAAGTGGGCAACGCTGTGCCGGTCAAGCTTAATCACGTGACTAAAAGTTTATATGGTATGAACTAGTCATTCATAATTTGTTTAATCAGGATTGACACTTTCTTTTGGATAGTAAAATATCTGAATTCTGAACTAGCAGGTGACTCTAGGATATTAGTTATCAATATCTAAGCTATATTTTCTATTGACGTCAAACTAGTATAAAAATAAAACCATATTGAATTTATTCATAACTTGTTTAAACACAATTGGTTTACCTCAATGTGGGAAAATCATGTAAAATATAATTTTATTTACTCAAGTTGACATAAGTTAATGTCAAAAGGTAAATATAAAAAAAAATAAAAAAATATAAAGGTAGCATCAGACACAGCTACTTTTGTTGTGCAATTTTTTTGCAGCCGCTGCAAAAGTTACATTCAGTGTTCATACACCAGCAGAAAGTAGCATAAAATGCGCAGTTTTTGTGCAGCAGCTGCCTAAAAAAGTTGCAGGTCGACTCTACATGTTTTTCATATGTTCACACTAAAGCGCTACTTTTGCAACATATTTTGGTAGTCGCAGCTTTGGAGGGGCAACATTCAACGGTACACCACCCACAGCTCAAGGTATCGTGTGTATACCTTTTGGGAGAGGGTTGCAGTTATAGTTAAGTAAAATTCCCATTTTGTTTTATAGGTTTAGCAGGAAATAATTCCCATTTTGTTTTGCAGGTTTCGTCTGCTCCGCAGCCAGATTTGGAACTTTTCATTTTTGAACGTCCTTTCGAATATTGTGCACGCAACGTATGAATTTTCTTTTTATGTCTTCATCGGGCATATGTAATTCAGAAGAAATTTCCGAAATAGCGGCTCGTCTTTTCGTTTGGTTGTGATAGAATGGACTTTTTACATTCCATAAACACTCCTTTGCTTCTACCGCTTCTATTAAATTGTTTCTACCGCTTCTATTAAACATTTTACTTGTTCTCTGTTCCAAATCGCTTGTTTTGACTTCGACGACATCGCAATTTGTCGGTTAATTCTTTACTAAATACCTACATATAAATCCTGGAGTTAACTGAAAAAAAGTGTATACATTTCGGGCGTACCAACAGAATACTGCACCGATGTTCGCAGTAATAGTTTCAACTGATTAGTAATCTTTTGCTGCACTAGCAACCCTCTTCAACAACTCTTCACATACTGCTATTTCACTGCGCGCAAACAAAAAGTAGCCTAGGCAACCAAGCTGCGATCGCAACGTTGCAGGTTGCCTAACACTTGCAGCAGATCAAGTTGCGCAGTTTTTTAAGGTGCTGCGCAACAAAAGTAGCTATGTCTGATACTACGTTAAGTTAGTGGCTTTTACTTCGCAGTTTTTACAGTTGGGGGTTGGACTTTTGGTGTTACAACGGCAAAATATAAACCCTAATTTACCACAATACGAGCCATAACAACTCGATATTCGGACAAACAAAAATTTATTGAAGTCTTTAATTTACATAAACTGATTTATTAAATTTAAGAACTATAGTAAAAATATATTATTAGCATCTATAATTTCTAATGAGTATTTAAAGAGTTTAGTTTCTATAAACATTAAAAAAAAACTGTAGGTAAGTAAATAAACAAAAATATGGCAAATAAGTATTTTAAGAAAGCCGGCTGTTTAATGTATCGTTTACTATGCTCCCTGGAACAACATGCGGCCCGTCTGGCTGCCGGTAAACGTTGCGTTTCCTGCTGCGCATTGAAAGAAGATCCTATATTTTTACTGGTCCTTTAAATTTTATTATTGAAGATAAATTGATCGAGTCTCCATAGCTCAGCGCGTAGAGGTTCCGCCTATCAAGCAAGGAGTCAGAGTTTGAGACCCTAAAAAGACCAGGGCAAAAACTTTTTTATTTTAGTTTATATTCTGATAGTAAAGTATTAATTCTGATAATTAAAAAAAAAATATTTAATACTTTACTATCAGAATATAAACAAAAATAAAATAAAAAAAATTTGCCCTGATCCGGTCTCGAACTCTGAATCCTCGGTTCGTAGTCGGAAACTCTACGCGCTGCGCTATGGAGACTTATTCGATTTATATTCAATACTAGAATTTAACGGACTAAATAAAAATATATATATAGGATCTTCTTACGATGCGTAGTAGTGAACGCAACGGGTATCGGCAACCAGATGGACCGCATGCTGTTCCAGAGAGCATAGTAAAAGATATATCAAAGAGCCAGCTTTCTAAAATACTTTCTCGAAAACGTTGCAAGCTCTTAGACTACAAGTATTCGGACACTATACGAAATAACTGTTTTAATATGGTGTTAGATCGACATGCGCTTTTATAACCACTGCAAGCCTGTTGGGCATATTTTTATTAATGATTGACATACGCCAAGGTAAAAATTTTGCCGCAATTTACTTATTAGTATATAAATGTGATGTAAAATGCATATTTTATGAAGAATGCATTTTTCTCAAAATGTCAATGATAAAAAAGTTTTTCATCTTGTAAAGAAAAGCCGCGTTCATACTGTATAAGACATTTAAGTGTTATGGTATATTACAACATTTAGATATTAGAAATTGAAAGTGTGATCTAACTTACCAAAAATTATTAAAGATGGAAACACGATTCTAAAGAAAAAACCCGATATCCAGTAATAAGCCATTTTTAAGTAATTATCTTTACTTAAACTGACATTTTAAAGATTAATTTTTGACGTTTATTTATGCTTTTACGTAACTATAACATCACTTTTACGCAACAAAGTAAAATGTGTTTACCTTTGTTTAAACCATTGCACAAAAGGTTTGTTGAACAACCTGTATGAACAATTAAAGTTACCTATAATTAAACTTTAACTTACACCCATTAACCTGAAATTTTGGAGATGTATTGATGGTAATCTTTGAATAAGAAGACTAAGGAAGGAGCATATCAAAAATCTTAGGTGCACCGCGATAGGTCTCAAATATGGCCGACTTAAATTCCGGTTTATCAGTGTCGTTCTAATTTTAGTTAAAAAATGTAAAACTATGATGTAGGGTAGACGTGGGGTAGACTCAATAATTTGTTTTTTTATTTTACGTTGTGAATAAATGATCGGTTTACTACACGTATGTATATTATATAGTCACTTACTAGCGAACAGTTGTTCCATTATTTCACTCAATTTTTGCCGAGATCTACCGCACGCTACAGAACCAACTATTTTAAAGTCTTTTTCGATAAATCGCGATAGTGTCACTGTTAATTTAAGTTCTGCCACAATTTCCATCTAGATTTACTACCTTTATACAACTATCAGTAGTAGAATAAATAATAAATAACATAAAATAAGCTCCGTAAAGACTGACAAATCCACAAAATTTCAAATCAAATTCAAATGTGTCAAATGAATCGTCAAACAGGACTGTCAAGGATCCCCACCCTAGAGAGCTTTTTCCGCCCACCATGCATGGATAGCATTATGCTCCTTCCTTAGTCTTCTTATTCAAAGATGGTAATTAATAAAAATCTAGGAATTACTTCAAGCAATTACTTTTAAGCAAAAGCAATTGCTCAAGAGCTCAAGCATAGCGTTAGCCCTAAGCAAAGCACTGTTTAGAGCAAATGCTCTAAGTAAAAGCGATTGCTAGGTGTTCACATGAAGAAAACTTTTAAGTAAATTCTACTTCTTCTTGATCTCTGTAGTTTTTGCTTAATCATATAATTTAAATATATATAATAATTTAAATCATTTAACAAGTCTAAAAAAGACTAAAGTATGAGCCAGTAATCAGCAGGGGATTCTTAAATTTAAGTACAAAACCTATCTTTCCTTTTTAAAACTATAATATTCACATACCGGATGGTGCAAGCCGATTTTAAGTAATTTAAGAAAAACTACATATATATTTTTAAATTAAAACTGAACAGGTAAAAATGCAAAACCAGGCAAATGCCAACGTACCTTAAGTTGACATCTTGTATTTTTGTCAATGTCAAATTATATTTTGCCTCATTCGAAACAGTTTTAAATTACAAAAATGCGTTTCGGGGTAGTAAGCTAGTAATATAGATTGCACATTTGACAATAAAAAAATCATAGGTTGATAACTAAAGGTATGTTGACATTTGACTGGTATTGTATTGTTTCCTGTTACTTGTTCACTTTTAATTTAAAGATTTCTCAGTAAAGAAACGATAATAAACACTACTCCAAGACATAGGAAAGACCAAAAAAAAATCCTGAAGAAGCATGATACATTAAATGCGAAACGTTGAAAAACTATTGTTTTAATTTAGCCATATAGCCACAACACCCAAGAAACAACTAAAAAAATTAATTTAAATATCGATGTATTTTTCTTATATTACTTAAAATCGGCTTGTCCCAAATTGTTCAAATTTGGCATTCGTTAACGTCGCTGTAAAGTCAACAAGTCAACAGGGGAGCAAATATTTGGACTGCTTAAAATTTGTATGGGATTTTCCTTTTCCCAACTACAATGCACCACCCGGTATGTAGATATTACAGCTTTAAAAAGGAAATATATGCTTTGTACTTAAATTTCGGCGCACTTAAAAGGCCTCAAAGATGACTGGGGCGTGACAATCAATGATAATTTTGGCGAGGGCATGTCTGGACATCATGTATTAAAAATTGATGTAAAACTTGTAAAAATTAACACAGAGACACAAATATATATCCAAAAAAAATATTTTTTTTCGAATTTTAAACTATACCTACTATTTAAGAATAATTTTTACTTACTTATTATAAAAATAAATTACAACCCTCTTAAGGCCAACTAGCAGTAAGCGCGATTAAAAAATAAAGCAGAGTCACTGGTCCAGTAAATAACATCTAGGGATTGACCTCGCCTAAAATTAACATCGATTGTTATTCTCCAGCCGTCTTTGACGCCTTTTTTCGCTTAGATCCATATATTTATTTCGAATCAGTTTATTTGCGTTTTCTTTTAGAGTTAATTTTATTCATTGACGTGGTTAATTTATATATATATTTTTTTTTATATTAGCTATTTTTATTTGCTTATTTTCTTATTTTATTGTTAAATTGTTTTTCCATTTAATTTTATAATAATGATAGGTGTTTTTTGAACTTTTGACTTTCATTTCTAGATGAACAACACCTTCAACGGGGAACTACAACATCGATCAGGGAGAGTCACAGAAGGGTATAGGCAGCAGAGTTTCCTGGTGAATAGATGACGACCTAATTTAGTGAGTCTAAAGAAAGGTAGGTTCTAGTTTTTTTAATAGGAGCTCCTACAAGTGTGCGATTCCATACATTTTCTAATTTGTATTTACTATATAAAGGTTACTATTATTATGCAAGGCAAATTTCCAAAAAATTGTCAGAAAATATCTAAATAAAATAATAGAATTGCATCATCATTAGCATCATCATTTACAACCACTTCCAGTTATGGTGTAGCCTCCCTCACATATTTAGGTACTCTGTTTTTAGTTGGACCCATTGTTGGCTACGCGGATCCAAGTTATTCTTGCTAATTTCCTAATGTCATGGTCCCATCTGAAGTTCGGTCATCTTCTAGGTCTATGCGTCGTGGGTACTATGCTGTAATTCTTGTAGTCCACCTGTTTCCGTCCTTCTTGCCTGGTGTCCTGCCCATTGTCTCCTAGGAATAACCATCTCTTGGTTATTCCCAGCATATTTAGTTCCACTAAGCGTTGTGCGACTTGCAGTTTCCTTCTAATGTTCGTTTTAAGTGTCCAGGTTTCGCATGCATAGGTCATGATTGGTCGAATAGTTTCTTCTTTAGGTCTTTACCTACCATTCTAAATTCCTCTTACCGTCTACCAAGCTGTAGAGGTTGTAGAAGGTAAGAGGAAACCGGGTGGACAACTCAAAAGGTACAATGATATTTTCCACGAAAACTTAAAGGGAATAAGCATGCAGAATCAGCAATGAAGAAGTATTGTAAACTCAGTTAACAGCAACAACCAAAAAGCCAAGAGGTAACAAAGTAATGAGATCTTTGAATGTCCAGAGTGTGGAAGAGTGATAACATCACGTATCGGGCTTTTCAGTCATAACTCATGAAAGCAAATGCATTTGGTAACTATCTTCTGATGCGTGTCAAATACTCGTCAGCGAGTAATGGCAGTAAGTAAGTGTCCGAGCTATAGCACCGTGTCTAAGAAACAAATCCGTATGCAGAATACAAGAAAACCATACCAAAATCTCTGCTTTACGGTGAGCTTGTAGACGGTAAGAGGAGGCCGGTTGGACAACTCAAAAGGTACAAGGACATTTTCCACGAAAACTTAAAGGGGATTAATATGCAGAATGAGTGGGAAGAAACAGCTCACAATAGAACTCAATGGAGAAGAATTGTAAGCACAGTTAACAGCGTAACCAAGTAAAGGGCAACAAAGCAATAAAGAGATTTTTGAATGTCCGGAGTGCGGTAGGCAGATAACGCATCACGTATCCGGGCTTTTCAGTCATAGATCATGAAAGCAATGCAGGCTTTGGTAACCATCTTTTGATGCGTCAATCAAATACTCGTCAACCCGAGTAATGGCAGTAAGTAGTGTCGAGCTATAGCACCGTTTCTAAGAAACAAATCCGTATGCAGAATGCAAGAAAACCATACCAAAATCTCTGCTTTACGCTGAGCTTGTAGAGGGTAAGAGGAGGCCGGTTGGACAACTCAAAAGGTACAAGGACATTTTCCACGAAAACTTAAAGGGGATTAATATGCAGAATGAGTGGGAAGAAACAGCTCACAATAGAACTCAATGGAGAAAAATTGTAAACTCAGTTAACAGCGATAACCAAAAAGTAAAGAGGCAACAAAGCAATGAGATTTTTGAATGTCCGGAGTGAGGTAGGCAGATAACATCACGTATCGGGCTTTTCAGTCATAGCTCATGAAAGCAAATGCATTTGGTAACCATCTTCTGATGCGTGTCAAATACTCGTCAGCGAGTAATGGCAGTACGTAAGTGTCCGAGCTATAGCACCGTTTCTAAGAAACAAATCCACGTGACTGATGTGGCACTAATTCTAACGTAGCATTAAAACATATTGTTTAATTTTATATATAGATTTATTAAGAGATAAGTATTATAACAAAACGCACGTAAAATTAATTCTACAAAATATGAAATTATTCAAAATTTTTTTAACTACCGTGAATAATAAAAGAATGTTAGTCTTCTTCATCTCTAGATAATCTAATGCATAAATCTGGAGACCTCATGATGAATACCAATTCGTCCACTAATTCCTGTTCTAGTTCGAAATTCTTCATATCTCTAGCCAAGTATACCTCGAAGCATTTCTAAAGAAAATGTTATTATAAGTTTTTGATGAAATTTCTACACCCTGTATCTCCGAAACTAAGCATTTTAGGACATACATTTATACGAACTTTTTTACTCATTTTTATCTGCAGAATATGCTGCCGAAGTTTCTGAAATACAGTTCGGACCACCCTGTATATACAGGGTGTTCCTTAATGACATGCTAATATTTAAGGAGGTGATTCTTGCACCTATTCTAAGAAAAAAATCTTTTTATGGATATATGTCCTGAACATCTTAACTGTTCAGATACAGGGTGGTAAATTTTCTATTTTTTTGTCAAAATATCTCTAATGTTATATTTGATACACGATTTCCATGCATCAAAATGGCCGTGATAAATAATAATAAAATCAAAATGGTATTTACTAAAATAGTCATACACATATTAAAATTTTATTTGGGATTGATATATTTTACTTTTGAACTGAATGTCTGAATATATTTTTCTTTTTTTTATGACGGAATTTATTATAACGGGATGGGTTTGCAAATATCTTCCCAAAAGCTTGCATTATTAGCTGGCATTACTAAAGCATTTTCCAGGTGTTCGACATTGTTGTAGTTGCCACGATATACATACAATCAAACTTATATGGAATCATCTATTTATTTTTCATAATTTTTGAGATGTATGAAAATGTTGTGTTTATGAATAAAACTCAGTCCTTACCAATGACTTTTAATGAAAAATAATCCATATAGCAATAAAATAAAAATCAGTTGGCAAAATAAATAATGGTATTTTTTTGGTTTCTGAAACGAAATTAAGATTTAAATTTTTAATGGTCAAAAAGCAAAAACAAATAGAAAATTGATAATTTTAATACTCCTTGTTGCCACCTCTAGCCCTTATGCAAGCTTCTATCTGCGCTGGCATGCTTCTTATTAAATTATCAACGTTGTCTCGGGGTATTTTTTTCCCATTCTGCTAATGCTGCATCAGTAAATTGTGCAAGATTTCCTGGATTATTTCGACGAGCTCTAACCTTTTTTTTGGGCTAGTCCCACAAATGTTCGATATGCTTTAGATCTGGTGAACATGCAAGCCAGTACAAAACTATGACACCTTCTGTTTCAAGATATTCTCTAGTCACTCTGATGGTATGGCGAGGTCCACTATCGTACAAGAAGTTAAAATTATCTCCAATTGCAGCTCTCCAAAGACTAACCGATTGGTTCTAGTACCAAATAAACATATCTCCGACCCGTTAAAGTTTTTTGAAGTAGTAACAATGGAGTTTTTGCTCCTAGTATAATACCTCCCCAGAACATTACAGTTCCTCCTTTATATCTTGGTACAGATTTGGCCTCCTGAAGTCTTGCCCTCCTTCCTGGAGCTTCGAGAACCCGAATTCAATGGTTATCTGATCATAGACCAATTCTGGTCTCATCCGAAAAAAGAACATTTTGCCAATTCTTATTTGTTCAGGATTGATGTTGAAGGCATCAATTTAGCCGGTTAACTTTATTTTGCCAAGATATCTGTGGGATCCGTAACTCTCTCCTACTGTAAAACCCTCGAGCACGAAGCCTTTTTCTTATGGTTTCAACTGAAACGCTCACACTTATAGATGCCAGAAGTTGTCTTTGGAGCTCTGGATGAGAAACATTGGGATTTATTCTAGCAGTTTGGTACACAAGGCGGTCTTGTTGTTCAGTTGTGACTCTTTGAGGACTTTGTCTGGGCCTATCCTTGTGTGTTCCTAATTCCAAGTACCTTGCATATGTTTTCGATACAACACCCTGGGTAACGCCTACTATCTCTGCTACGTCTCTTTGGAGCATTTCTTGTTCGGCGTGAGCAATAATTATTCTTCCCCTCCGTACATCTGTTAATCCAACATAAGGCATTTTTTGATTTTTTTGATCGAATTAAAATTACCGGACAATCGTGATTTTACTACTGAACACAAAATTCAAAAGAAAATATATCGCGGCAATCGTTTATCCTTTATTATCATGTTTATTTACAAAAAAAAGCCTTATTTTAATGTTCTATACGAATTTTTATCCTTGCAAGAAATTTAGTCAGAAATAAAGAGTGATTCCATATAAGTTTGGTCGTGTGTTCATATTTCAAAAATCCCCAAAATTAGAAATCGACAACGGACAAATCCGGGAATCAGGGAGGCCATCATATGGGTACATTGATTGGTTCCAATTCATTGATTTGAGAAATAATAATTTAACAAAATTCTAATATTTTCAAAGTTGTGAGGGGGAGTCCCATCTTGTTGAAAGTATATTTCACGGTATTATTATTATTAACTAAAGGAATATATCTACTATAATAAACGCCACGAATGTTTGGGAGTGATTCGTCACTTGATAAAGTTGGAATCGACACGCGCACTATCATTTTTACATTAAAAACGTAAATTTTTACCGCAGACGTAGGTTTTTAAAGGCCCGGTCTAATCATCTGCCTGCGCTCCTCCTACTTATTCTAAAATGTGAGCGTGGTTGACAAAGACGATACTATATCGCGTTTCTTTGATTGATTCGTTTTTGTGCGTCAGTCCATTGGTGTGCTTGCAGTGCGACCAATGGGACATTCCAGTTTATATTTATAACCAAATATAGGTTTTGCCAAGACTTTGACAGTTAAAACAACAAATTACAACAGATTATATATTGATTATTATATGACTTGAAACACCACGGCACTGGAATTAAGTTTTATGTGACCTTGGACAGATTAGTGCACATTGTAGCGACGGATTAATCACTCCCAAACATTCGTGGCGTTTACTTTATCAAAGTTCCGGTACGATAGGTTCCAAGATTTACAAATAGCGGTAGAGAATTAGCTTTTCGTAATATATAAAGAATTTATTAGTGGTTCCCAAAACAAAGCAAGAGAAAAATAACAGTATATATTGTTAATATAATTCAGTAGTTTGTTTTATTATCAATCATGGCCTACTAATAAAAATTATCTTTACTTTTTTTTCTTTTTTTTTTTAATATTGCAGTAAATAGTGAAAATAAATATAGAGTGATATATATTTTTGAGAAGCTTATGGCAAGCCAGATCATATAATTTCTGAATAGACAGGGTGTTCCATTTAAAGAAAACACATAACTAGTTCATATCTTTAAAAATATTCTTTTAACAGACTACGCACTGTTGGAAAATTTGCAAATCAGAGACCTCATTTTTTAGGCATTTAGGAATACTGAGTTACTCTGTATGTGAAACAAAATGTTTAATAATTTTGGGTGACTAAAAAACTACTCATATAGTTATCGACTTTTCATCTTCCTCATGATATAAACAAATTTTATATTTACTGTTAGAAGTTTCTCGGGATTGTCGATGTCTTCAAGCCAAATTTCATCAATTTTTATAGTCATGTCCTGGAGCAGTCCAAGGATTATCATAAAGTAGATAAGATACATTCCTAAGATTCTGAAAAAGACAAGATGTTAATTAAATGGTTATTAATTGTTCCTAAAACAAATCCAGTTAGCAAGCCCCCCCCCTCCTAAAATGTGTACTAATAGAAAATAAAAAATACATTAAAATTCATATATTTTCAATAATTGTTTATACAGGATGTGACTTATTTTTCATATTATCATAGGCCCCATTCTGCTTTGTTTCGTAGCTACAGGGTGTTAAAGTCTTAATAATCTTTCGATTTATTATAATTTTCTTCAAAGTACTTTTAGCGATTCGAATGAAATTTTGGGGGTAAAAGTTACTATAAGTGTTACATATTTTAATGCTAAAAAAGTGTCAATAAATTTATTAGGTTAAAAGTTATCTCTTGATATTTTGTCCAATTCGGCCTCCTTGGTGAGATAAACGCAATTTTATTAATCAATAAAATTAAAATAAAAATAAAATTAATAAATTATATATTTCACCTAATTTATTATTACTATCAGTCCAACATACAGCAGTTTCAAATAAAAAAATAATGGTATTTAAAATAATAATTGCAAAAAACCTAATTTTAAAATCGACACTTTTTTAGCGTTAAAATATGTCGCATTTATAGTTACTTTTACCATCAAAACACCACCCTCGAAAATATTTGCACTTATTTAAGACTCACCCTGTATATTTGGACACGCGTTTATCACATGCATGATAGATAAGAACAGAACTTTTTACTTAATCTGCAGGAATATAATTAATTATTATAAATTATAATAATTATAATTAATAATTTATTCTGAAATATTCTTTTAACCGTACAAATAATACTCACCCGCTTTCCGTGAGTAGTGAAAGTGATGACGAAAATACTTTTTCATTGAAAAGGTACATTACAATATATTTGCAGCTATTGTGAACGAGACCTTTAAGATAGTATTTGTAATTTTCATCGGTATCTTCGCAAGATTCTCGTATTTCCCACCTAAAAAGAATGAAGTATTTTCTTTACAGTGAATTAAAAATGACTTTTGATATTTATAGGTATGATGTAAAAAAATAGACTTAAAATTAATATAACAGGATGCCACAAATTAATGTTTAACTTTGACAGAATTATGTGTCAAGGATTAACCATTAGCGTAACTAGCAATTCATCCTGGGGGGAGCCTGGGGGGGGGGCACTATTTGAGAGGCTGCACAAGGCAAATATACTCAAGGTGGTTTGTCATTGCCTTCCTTGAGGTGGCGCACAGTGCTTCGTCCCATCGACGAAAATCACGAAAAAAAAGGTAAGATTTACTAATATCTGAATATGTAAATTTATACTTATAGCAATGTTCAACCAACCTGTGTAATATTTTTCATAAACAGCGTTTTTTGTTAGCAAATATTTTCACTAAAAATAAATTTTGCGATCATTATCTTATCAGTGAAAAGAATAACATTCATAGTAGTTCTGTATATTATGGAGTTAAGCGGTACGTACTTAATTGAAAGCCACTATGGATGTTGTTAAACAAGGTATGTGCTTTAAATTTATTTCTAAACAAGTTCGTGATTGTTTAGTTTTTATTTATTTTTTAAGATGATTCTTAAATGGGTATAAAAATTTTACGTTTTCATAAGATACATACCTTATCGTCTTTTTGAAACACGTACATTTTTGCTGTTTTGTTAGTTTCTTTGCAAGATGCAACACAACAAGAAAACACCATTTTTACAGTTAATAAATAATAAAACTATTTCTGACTATGATATTTAAAATTTAGATAGATAGAAAGTTAAAAACAAACGAGTATTTGCAAACGCGGGCCCAAATTCAATAAAAATCAAAATTTTTCCTGCGAAAATCAGGCTTTTTTAACTGAAAAGGTATTTTTTGATTTATCAGCAGTCATTGTCAAGTTGACAATATACAGGGTGTTTTCTAATTAGTCTAAAAATTATGGTGTGATTCCTCATGTGTTCTTAAAATAATTTTTATATAACCATTGGGTCTAAAGTACTTCCTTTCTGATTTACAGGGTGTTAAAAATTAAAAAAATCGATTTTTTTGCGTAACATAAATGGCACACCACTATATATATATATATTTTTCTTGACTGACCATCCTTTTTCAACAAAACTGATGTTTTGAGTTTTTTTTGTTCATCAAACGGTTGTCGAGAAAAAAATAAGTATACTTATTAAGAGACCGCCTTAATTCGCTTTCTAACGATTTTTTATTTTTTAGATTAATTAGGAAACACACTGTATATGCATATCACAGGCAACCAAATAAACTAGTAACCTCTAAAAATTATTTTTCCTACCACTAGCGACATACGGTGTTTTTAGTGTGTACTAAATAATTTTATCAAAATTTCACCATATAAGCACATATAAGTTTCCAATGGCTATAGCACCGTTTCTAAGAAACAAATCCACGTGACTGATGTGGCACTAATTCTAACGTAGCATTAAAACATATTGTTTAATTTTATAAATAGATTTATTAAGAGATAAGTATTATCACAAAACGCACGTGAAATTAAATCTACAAAATATAAAATTATTCAAAAATTTTTTAACTACCGTGAATAATAAAAGAATGTTAGTCTTCTTCATCTCTAGATAATCTTATGCATAAATCTGGAGACCTCATGATGAATACCAACTCGTCCACTAATTCCTGTTCTAGTTCGAAATTCTTCATATCTCTAGCCAAGTATACCTCGAAGCATTTCTAAAGAAAATGTTATTATAAGTTTTTGATGAAATTTCTACACCCTGCATCTCCGAAACTAAGCATTTTAGGACATACATTTATACGAACTTTTTTACTTATTTTTATCTGCAAAATATGCTGCCGAAGTTTCTGAAATACAGTTCGGACCACCCTGTATATACAGGGTGTTCCTTAATGACATGCTAATATTTAAGGAGGTGATTCTTGCACCTATTCTAAGAAAAAAACTTTTTATGGATATATGTCCTAAACATCTTAACTTTTCAGATACAGGGTGGTAAATTTTCTATTTTTTTTTGTCAAAATATCTCTAATGTTATATTTGATACACGTTTTCCATGCATCAAAATGGCCGTGATAAATAATAATAAAATCCAAAATGGTATTTACTAAAATAGTCATACCCATATTAAAATTTTATTTGGGATTGATATATTTTTTTCTTTTGAACTGAATGTCTGAATATATTTTTCTTTTTTTTATGACGGAATTTATTATAACGGGATGGGTTTGCAAATATCTTCCCAAAAGCTTGCATTATTAGCTGGCATTACTAAAGCATTTTCCAGGTGTTCGACATTGTTGTAGTTGCCACGATATACATACAACCAAACTTATATGGAATCATCTATTTATTTTTCATAATTTTTGATATGTATCAATATATAGCGGATGCATTATCTTTGTTGAGTGACATATCTTTTCTTTTAGTTTTTATCTGTCGAATTGCCGCATTTATCGTTTTTCGTATTTTATCCTATCTTTCTATTTACCTTTATCTTTCTATCTAGTTTTTTAATTTATCTTTTAATATACCATTTTAGTATTAACTTTTGTTCTAATTTAAATTTTCATATATTTCTAGTTTTTTTATCTTACATATTTTTTTATTCTTTTTACACGTGTCTACAAATTAAATCAAATAATTTACTGTAACAATATATAATTTTTTTTTCAAGTCGTACCGAAGTGATTGTGGTGGTCTGGAATTTTCTAGAGAGAGAGAGCAAAATATTTTTCTTTTATTTTTTTTATAATTCTATATTTATATTCTTTATATTCTTTAAATAATTTGGACAATCTTTTCAATTATAACTAATTTAAACTGTCATTGCCTATTTTCTTTTTTAAATTTTAATTATAATTTTTACTGTAATAATTAGTAGTTGGATTTAGATATTGATTATTGTTTATTTGAATCACCAATATGTTGTTTAATCATAAGTTATTTTTATTGTACCTTCATTGGCAACCAACAGACAGTTCAATTGGTAATTTAGAACACCACCACAAAACTGGGTACTTATCAATTGTGTTGAGTAGAATACTGCTGTTTGTTATCTTCTAGGAAGATACGAGAATTGACCCTCCCCATAAGTAGCTCACGCACTGAGACTGGTGGAGTCTCACAAGCTTTCCAACGTTAGCCGGACAATCACGATACCCACCAGCGGGCGAGTGCAGCGAAGAGGGTGAGGCCTTTCTCCCAACCAACCGAAGCAGAAACACTTAAGTATTCCAGTTGCATATCTAATCTCATATAATCGAGACTGTCACAGCCAATTACATTGATTGTTTATAATTATTGTTAATTAAATATAAGTCATTAATGAAATTTTCTATTGTCTTATTTAATTCCAAAGCATACTTCCACAAACCAGTAACTTTTAGAATTTCGTGGGTTATATGTTTATGAATAAAACTAAGTCCTTACCAATGACTTTTAATGAAAAATAATCCATATAGCAATAAAATAAAAATCAGTTGCCAAAATAAACAAAATGGTATTTTTTTGGTTTCTGAAACGAAATTAAGATTTAAATTTTCAATCCTTGTTGCCACCTCTAACCCTTATGCAAGCTTCTATCTGCGCTGGCATGCTTCTTATTAAATTATCAACGTTGTCTCGGGGTATTTTTTTCCCATTCTGCTAATGCTGCATCAATAAACTGTGCAAGATTTCCTGGATTATTTCGACGAGCTCTAACCTTTCTTTTGGGCTAGTCGTCCCACAAGTGTTCGATAGGCTTTAGATCTGGTGAACATGCAAGCCAGTACAAAACTATGACACCTTCTGTTTCAAGATATTCTCTAGTCACTCTGCTGGTATGGCGAGGTCCACTATCGTACAAGAAGTTAAAATTATCTCCAATTGCAGCTCTCCAAAGACTAACCGATTGGTTGTAGTACCAAATAAACATATCTCCGACCCGTTAAAGTTTTTTGAAGTGGTAACAATGGAGTTTTTGTTCCCAGTATAATACCTCCCCAGAACATTACAGTTCCTCCTTTATTTCTTGGTACAGATTTGGCAGCCTGTACATTTTTGCTCGCCTTCCTGGAGCTTCGAGAACCCGAATTCAATGGTTATCTGATCTTAGACCAATTCTGGTCTCATCCGAAAAAAGAACATTTTGCCAATTCTTATTTGTCCAGGTTTGATGTTGAAGGCATCAATTTAGCCGGTTAACTTTATTTTGCCAAGATATCTGTGGGATCCGTAACTCTCTCCTACTGTAAAACCCTCGAGCACGAAGCCTTTTTCTTATGGTTTCAACTGAAACGCTCACACTTATAGCTGCCAGAAGTTGTCTTTGGAGCTCTGGATGAGAAACATTGGGATTTATTCTAGCAGTTTGGTACACAAGGCGGTCTTGTTGTTCAGTTGTGACTCTTTGAGGACTTTGTCTGGGCCTATCCTTGTGTGTTCCTAATTCCAAGTACCTTGCATATGTTTTCGATGAAACACCCTGGGTAACGCCTACTATCTCTGCTACGTCTCTTTGGAGCATTTCTTGTTCGGTGTGAGCAATAATTATTCTTCCTCTCCGTACATCTGTTAATCCAACATAAGGCATTTTTTTATTTTTTTGATCGAATGAAAGTTACCGGACAATCGTGATTTTACTACTGAACACAAAATTCAAAAGAAAATAAATCGCGGCAATCGTTTATCCTTTATTATCATGTTTATTTACAACAAAAAGCCTTATTTTAATGTTCTATACGAATTTTTATCCTTGCAAGAAATTTAGTCAGAAATAAAGAGTGATTCCATATAAGTTTGGTCGTGTGTTCATATTTCAAAAATCCCCAAAATCAGAAATCGCGAACGGACAAATCCGGGAATCAAGGAGGCCATCATATGGGTACATTGATTGGTTCCAATTCATTGATTTGAGAAATAATAATTTAACAAAATCCTAATATTTTCAAAGTTGTGAGGGGGAGTCCCATCTTGTTGAAGGTATATTTCACGTTATTATTATTATTAACTAAAGGAATATATCTACTATAATAAACGCCACGAATGTTTGGGAGTGATTCATCACTTGATAAAGTTAGAATCGACACGCGCACTATCATTTTTACATTAAAAACGTAAATTTTTACCGCAGACGTAGGTTTTTAAAGGCCCGGTCTAATCATCTGCCTGCGCTCCTCCTACTTATTCTAAAATGTTAGCGTGATTGACAAAGACGATACTATATCGCGTTTCTTTGATTGATTCGTTTTTGTGCGTCAGTCCATTGGTGTGCTTGCAGTGCGACCAATGGGGCATTCCAGTTTATATTTATAACCAAATATAGGTTTTGACAAGACTTTGACAGTTAAAACAACAAATTACAACAGATTATATATTGATTATTATATGACTTGAAACACCACGGCACTGGAATTAAGTTTTATCTGACCTTGGACAGATTAGTTCACATTGTAGCAAAATAAAAACACTAAATCACCACAATACACCAAAACACTTTTACTTTTAAACTGAACTAGTTTATAATCATCTGCTGATGATACTAACATGGTTAGCGAAACGCGCGTCCAGTGTAAAAGTAAAAGTGTTTTGGTGTATTGTGGTGATTTAGTGTTTTTATTAAACTGAACTAGTTTGTAATCATCTGCTGATGATACTAACATGGTTAGCGAAACGCGCGTCCAGTGTAAAAGTAAAAGTGTTTTGGTGTATTGTGGTGATTTAGTGTTTTTATTTTGCTGTTTAACACCAAAGGTTCCAATCCTCAACTGTAATCACATTGTAGCGACGGATTAATCACTCCCAAACATTCGTGGCGTTTACTTTATCAAAGTTCCGGTACGATAGGTTCCAAGATTTACAAATAGCGGTAGAGAATTAAGTTTTCGTAGTATATAAAGAATTTATTAGTGGTTCCCAAAACAAAACAAGAGACAGATAACAGTATATATTGTTAATATAATTCAGTAGTTTGTTTTATTATCAATCATGGCCTACTAATAAAAATTATCTTTACTTTTTTTTCTTTTTTTTTAATATTGCAGTAAATAGTGAAAATAAATATAGAGTGATATATATTTTTGAGAAGCTTATGGCAAGCCAGATCATATAATTTCTGAATAGACAGGGTGTTCCATTTAAGAAAACATAACTTTAGTTCATATCTTTAAAAATATTCTTTTAACAGACTACGCCACTGTTGGAAAATTGCAAATCAGAGACCTCATTTTTTAGGCATTTAGGAATACTGAGTTACTCTGTATGTGAAACAAAATGTTTAATAATTTTTGGGTGACTAAAAAACTACTCATATAGTTATCGACTTTTCTAAATGCTTCCTCGCGATATAAACAAATTTTTATATTTACTGTTAGAAGTTTCTCGGGATTGTCGATGTCTTCAAGCCAAATTTCATCAATTTTTATAGTCATGTCCTGGAGCAGTCCAAGGATTATCATAAAGTAGATAAGATACATTCCTAAGATTCTGAAAAAGACAAGATGTTAATTAAATGGTTATTAATTGTTCCTAAAACAAATCCAGTTACCAAGCCCCCCCCCTCCTAAAATGTGTACTAATAGAAAATAAAAAATACATTAAAATTTATATATTTTCAATAATTGTTTATACAGGATGTTTCAAAAAACATATGCCATCTCTCGTGGGGAGATTCCTCACGTAAAAATAAGACTTATTTTTCATATTATCATAGGCCCGATTCTGCTTTGTTTCGTAGCTACAGGGTGTTAAAGTCTTAATAATCTTTCGATTTATTATAATTTTCTTCCAAGTACTTTTAGCGATTCGAATGAAATTTTGGGGGTAAAAGTTACTATAAGTGTTACATATTTTAATGCTAAAAAAGTGTCAATAAATTTATCAGGGACGTACATATGGGTTATCACTAGAATATTTTTCAAAAAAAAAACATGTACGCCACTGACTTTGTTCTTTTGATATCAAAATTGTGTAGGCCGTTTAATGCCAATTAAAAGTTATCTCTTGATATTTTATCCAATTCGGCCTCCTTGGTGAGATAAACGCAATTTTATTAATCAATAAAATTAAAATAAAAATAAAATTAATAAATTATATATTTCACCTAATTTATTATTACTATCGGTCCAACATACAGCAGTTTCAAATAAAAAAATAATGGTATTTAAAATAGTAATTGCAAAAAACCTAATTTTAAAATCGACACTTTTTTAGCATTAAAATATGTCGCATTTATGGTTACTTTTACCATCAAAACACCACCCTTGAAAATATTTGCACTTATTTAAGACTCACCCTGTATATTTGGACACGCGTTTATCATATGCATAATAGATAAGAACAGAACTTTTTACTTAATCTGCAGGAATATAATTAATTATTATAAATTATAATAATTATAATTAATAATTTATTCTGAAATATTCTTTTAACCGTACAAATAATACTCACCCGCTTTCCGTGAGTAGTGAAAGTGATGATGAAAATACTTTTTCATTGAAAAGGTACATTACAATATATTTGCAGCTATTGTGAACGAGACCTTTAAGATAGTATTTGTAATTTTCATCGGTATCTTCGCAAGATTCTCGTATTTCCCACCTAAAAGAATGAAGTATTTTCTTTACAGTGAATTAAAAATGACTTTTGATATTTATAGGTATGATGTAAAAAAAATAGACTTAAAATTAACATAACAGGATGCCACAAATTAATGTTTAACTTTGACAGAATTATGTGTCAAGGATTAACCATTAGCGTAACTAAAATTCATCCTGGGGGGAGCCTGGGGGGGGCACTATTTGAGAGGCTGCACAGCGTTTTTTGTTAGCAAATATTTTCACTAAAAATAAATTTTGCGATCATTATCTTATCAGTGAAAAGAATAACATTCATAGTAGTTCTGTATATTATGGAGTTAAGCGGTACGTACTTAATTGAAAGCCACTATGGATATTGTTAAACAAGGTATGTGCTTTAAATTTATTTCTAAACAAGTTCGTGATTGTTTAGTTTTTATTTATTTTTTAAGATGATTAAAGATGTATAAAAAAAGATGTATAAAAAATAACTATTAACAACTATAACAACATAAAAAAACTGTCTGACTCTGGGTTTTTAAATTATTTAATCTGATTGTATTCATTGCAACAATATTGATCAGCGCTAATAAACATTGAATAAGGAAAATCAAGTCAATTGGAAGATTCAAATAAATAATATCTAGGTGAGCAATTTAAAGATATTATTTTTAACTTTTTTTATTGTGAATTTGAAATCTCAGTGTGCGATCTAATAATATGCATAATATTAATCGTAGTTATTATAAATAAATCAACTTCCACAAAATATTTTCTAACGCTCTACATGTTCGAAAGGGTTCACCTTCCCTATTGCAAATTTATTTTTCGCTCAATTTTATCTATAGCTTTTTGAACTTTCTTCTTATACTGCCAAATGCATTTTGTACTCTATTGTAAATGTTGATATGTATTGATTTCATTTTTACCAAAGACGTCAAGTAATGACCCCTCCTCCCGCCCTTTGGTGACAGGTCCAGGAACCTCGCTGGCCCTTATACTGCTCTACCATTTACAGTCCATCTTTCGGAGTAATTATTTGATTGTTTATATGATATTATTTATTGCATTTGATTTTCCGTATTCAATGTTTTACCCTACGTCATTGTTAAGTTTGAAAGCTTTTCAATATTGTAAAGTTGGATAGATTAAATATTTTCACGAAAAAATATTTTCACTAAAAATAAATTTTGCGATCATTATCTTATCAGTGAAAAGAATAACATTCATAGTAGTTCTGTATATTATGGAGTTAATGGGTACGTACTTAATTGAAAGCCACTATGGATATTGTTAAACAAGGTATGTGCTTTAAATTTATTTCTAAACAAGTTCGTGATTGTTTAGTTTTTATTTATTTTTTAAGATGATTCTTAAATGGGTATAAAAATTTTACGTTTTCAAACTTCAAAAAGGCATTTAAAAAAAAACATATCAAAACATATCGTATTTATTGAATATTTTTGTTGCCATATTCATACACTTTTAATTTTTGTATAGTTCACCTGCGTCAGCTTGCGACGAAGTTTATTTTACAATACTTTTCAGATGGAGTAAAATTGATAAGCAATGCCGATCTGGTTAATACTTGGCTTGATCATAGAGACAAGAACTCAAAATTATTTGTATTTCAAAAAATGTGTTCTTTATTAGATATTGATGAACCTTCTAGTCAAATGAGACACCACTTGTGCCTGAAAAAGCCCACTATGTTGGAGCGAAACGTCGCATAAAAAAGTTTCCATCTTCAATTTATTATAAAACCTCATACCCAAGAAAAGGAAAAAATATTATATGGATATGATCTATTAAAGAGGTAACTATTAACATCCGAACTCCTCATACCAACAAAAAGAACAGTAACAACGCGAAAAAGTAACATATTAGAAAATGATGTACATAAATATCTTACATGTGAGGATACTTCATCTACCTGTGATTTGGATACCATAAATTTGGAAGATTCTGTCAGCAGCGATTCTTCTGAATCAGAGTAGTTACGATCTATGCATTTTGTTGTCCTAAAGTAAATTTATAGTATCTTAAGTTTTTTTTTAATTAAATATAACATTAATGTTTCTTTTTCATTATTTCATTGTTTGTTTTTCAAAGAAAAACATTTTTATCTTATATTAGGCTTATATTGTAGGAATCATGTTCTAATGTTATTTCAATTCTTTTTTTATCACAGGGATTTATTTAATACTTACACCGTTTTCATACTATAAATTATTATTTCCTTAGATGGAACACAGCTCCAACATTTTTATTATTTATAAGATTTTTTTTCCATAAACGTGGGACTAAGAAAATCATCATTTAGTACAATGAGAGTACTCATCATTTGTGTCAAATAAACCTAGTTTGAATAAATTGCCTACAATAAAAGAGAAGTTTTGCATTTTTGTCCTCTAGAGCTATATGTTCGAAACACTGTGATGGCGGCTCGTTGGTCGCTCTATTTAGAAAAATAAATATTTTTATTTAAATAAATAAAGCGACCGTACTGGCTGGAGATCGAACCCAGTACCTTCCGCTCTGCAGATCCACACACTCGCTGGAGCTACGACCGGCTACGTAGATTATTTAAGTACCTACAAATTTTCTAAACAAATAAAAATTAACACATTTTTTGAACACAACAAAATAATACTAACTAAACAAAACTAGAAAATCTCATTTTTACTACATCACAAGCAAATAGAAATTAATCCGTAGCCAAGAGTCATAATTCAAGATTACTCTGGGGGGTGCCCAGCAGTACCTGGACGGGCCCGGCACACCCGGACACCCCCGTAGTTACGCCAATGGGATTAACGTATCTGAAAACTGTTACTATACTGTAGTTTTATACAGGGTGGTCCGAATTGTAATCGGGAAACTTTAGCAGCATATTCTTCAGATAAAAATAAGTAAAAATGTTCTTAGAAATGTCTGTCCTAAAATGCTTGGTTTCGGAGATACAGCATATTTCAGGTTTATTTCGACTTTTTCCAAAGAATTTCTGAAAATTCTTTGAAACTCAATTTTATTTTTTCTTGTCGTTACTTTTTAGGAAACCAAAAAACTAATTGCACATTCTTATAGCCACTTTATTAGGGCTATCTGATTATACTATACTACTATATTAGATTTTCGATTTTGCGGATAATTTGTGAGATACAGAGGCCAACTTAATTTTTTTAAATACGGACTTGCATTTTTTATTTCAGATTTTTTAAGAACTCGGTCTCCTGAGTACAATGATACACTTTATACTTTTTTTCCATAGCAACTGTTAAAATTGCCTTATATCTATCAAAAATAGTAGATAAAATAGGACTTTAACCACAAGGGTAGAACAAATGATACTTTAACAGCGAGGATAGGTTAAAAACTTTATTTCTTCTCGCACGTTTCTTAATTCATTCCATTTTTGACATTTTTTAATTCCTTTTTATAAGTTATTCGGGATTTAAATGGAAGTAGTTTGGATATGGCGTTTGTCGCCTCAGCCTGAATATATGTTGGTAATTTACTTATTTCGTTTTGAGCCATTTCTGCCTCCAATACAATCGCTAGAAACCAACGCCAACCCAGCACAATATGTTTTCTACTCGTAATAAATTCCTTGAAATAATAATTTCTGAATATTTTTAAAATGTCACTCGCTATGGAAAAAATATTGTTTTATACACGACGATAAAATTGTATTATCGTCTCCCGAAATTAATTCACTCGCGATTTCATCGCTCTTGAATTAATCCTTTCGGTCGACGATAAAATGCCATTTTATCGTCTTGTATAAAAAATAACTATTAACAACTATAACAACATAAAAAAACTGTCTGACTCTGGTTTTTTAAATTATTTAATCTGATTGTATTCATTGCAACAATATTGATCAGCGCTAATAAACATTGAATAAGGAAAATCAAGTCAATTGGAAGATTCAAATAAATAATATCTAGGTGAGCAATTTAAAGATATTATTTTTAACTTTTTTTATTGTGAATTTGAAATCTCAGTGTGCGATCTAATAATATGCATAATATTAATCGTAGTTATTATAAATAAATCAACTTCCACAAACTATTTTCTAACGCTCTACATGTTCGAAAGGGTTCACCTTCCCTATTGCACAAATTTATTTTTCGCTCAATTTTATCTATAGCTTTTTGAACTTTCTTCTTATACTGCCAAATGCATTTTGTACTCTATTGTAAATGTTGAGATGTATTGATTTCATTTTTACCAAAGACGTCAAGTAATGACCCCTCCTCCCGCCCTTTGGTGAGAGGTCCAGGAACCTCGCTGGCCCTTATACTGCTCTACCATTTACAGTCCATCTTTCGGAGTAATGATTTGATTGTTTATATGATATTATTTATTGCATTTTATTTTCCGTATTCAATGTTTTACCCTACGTCATTGTTAAGTTTGAAAGCTTATCAATATTGTAAAGTTGAATAGATTAAATATTAAAAAAAAAAACGGAGCCGGACTTGAAATTAGTTTAAATAAATTATGTTTAAAAGCCCGAAACAAAAAAAATATTAAGTGTGGCATATCATTGTACTCAGGAGACCGAGTTCTTTCAAAACCTGAAATAAAAAATATAGGTCCGTTTTTAAAAAAAATAAGTTGGCCTCTGTATCTCACAAATTATCAGCTAATTTAAAAATCTAAAAATACTATCAGATAGCACTAATAAAGTGGCTGGTGATTTTCTAAAAAGTAATGACAGGGAAAAATAAAATTGATTTTCAAAAAATCCGTTTTTCCAAAAAACTCAGCAAACCTTGAAGTTTTTTTGATGGCATCTTAGTGAACATCCTAAAGCGCAACTTTGCCCCAATTTAACCATGTTCGTATCTATTACGGTTACCGAGATGCCAATGCTTGGACTTCAAATTTGTAGCATCCTGTATAATTGAATTTTTACCATAGTTTGCCTTGGTCTCTTTCGAGAGCTATAAGCAGGCTTCGGAATCTAGTTGACGTGGCTTGAATATCGTCGTCGTCGTCTACTTTATCATCTTCTGCGCCGTGCGTTTTGCCCAGATATTTATCTTAAATTACATTAATTGAAATTAACAATGAAAATAATTCTTTATTATCTTATTAACGGTGTGTCATTGTCAAAGTATTTGTACGTTCCTTTGAATAAGAAGACTAAGGAAGGAGCATATCAAAAATCAATATGGCCGACTTAAATTCCGGTTTATCAGTGTTGTTCTAATTTTATTTAAAAAATGTAAAACTATGATGTAGGGTAGACGTGGAGTAGACTCAATAATTTGTTGTTTTATTTTACGTTGTGAATAAATGTTGGTAGTTATTAAAATTGTTATAAAAATATATAATTCTAATAAAAATAGATAAGTTATAATAAGTATTTATTAACACAAACATCCGATACGCTACTGAAGCAGGTAAGTCAAATTAACGTATCTAAATTCTTTGACATCTAATCTTTGACAAGTAATAAATAAAAAGCTAAAATGCAAGAAAAAATATATAATTTAGTTAATTTAAGTGAATTTCATAAATGATCGGTTTACTACACGTATGTATATTATAGTCACTTACTAGCGAAAAGTTGTTCCATTATTTCACTCAATTTTTGCCGAGATCTACCGCACGCTACACAACCAACTATTTTAGAGTCTTTTCCGATAAATCGCGATAGTGTGACTGTTGATTTAAGTTCTGCCACAATTTCCATCTAGATTTACTACCTTTATACAACTATCAGTAGTAGAATAAATAATAAATAACATAAAATAAGCTCCGTAAAGACTGACAAATCCACAAAATTTCAAATCAAATTCAAATGTGTCAAATGAATCGTCAAACAGAACTGTCAAGGATCCCCACCCTAGAGAGCTTTTATGGTGGCTTTTCCGCCCACCATGCATGAATACATGGATAGCATTATGCTCCTTCCTTAGTCTTCTTATTCAAAGGTACGTTCATATATATTATGCAGCGATTGTTCAACGTTACGTCATCATTATTTGTCAAATACCTAGATCATAATATACCGGGTGCGTCTCAAAAGTGGCTCACCTCTATAACTTTTTTATTTTTTCAGTTATAAAAACGAGATTTGGTATGTTAGTATATGACATAAATTAGGATTAATTGAAATATTCAATTGTTTTCTGTCACTTCCTGTTTCACCGGAAATGAATACAACTTTTGATTTTTAAATGGCACCTTTGGTATTTTTTTACTTTATTCGACAGAAAATGACGCTCTGAATGGAATGACATATCATATGTCGACTTTCGACATTTTTGCATATAGTTTATTTGAAATTATATTATTATTATTTTTTTTTTTGTTTTTTTTTTTAATTTCGCAGTTTACTGGTTATGATACGGCGCAGATCAGCCAGCATGGCAAGATGCTGCGCTATGAGCCTAATCCAGAAAGTGCCTGACAATGTTGGTGGCGTCCAGCACAACAGACTTCTGCATTTTATGGTAAGTGTTATACGGTATCGATATTATTTTTAAATTTTCTTTTAATGTTTTAGGTATCAGACCCATCGTGGATAAGATCACGGGTACGATGAAGACCGATTCCATCCGCCACATAGCTTTAACTTCTCTACGGAGCTCAGCATACTTGGTAAGTTTCTCAGTGTATTTCTGTTTTAGGTTGTGGTTGTTCGGTACTGATATATCTATCAAAAACGCTTTTTTCTCTTGCTTTAGAATAACTGTTATATCTGGTCTGTTATGCTCCATGCGTTTGTCCGTGATTATATCTTTGTCCAAATATATTTTTGCTATATCGTTCTCAACCACCGGCACGGGGACATATTTATAATAAGGGTTTTCGCTCACAGGCTTTAGATTATATAGTTTGAACAATTCAAGGTATACAATAGTTGCCACCCTATTATGCCTTTCAAGGTACTTCGTATGAGCCAGTACAGAGCATCCCGACAATATGTGCTCTACAGTTTCAGTACATTCATTGCAGCGCCTGCAGAGGTCGTTGGACATTTGTTCTCTTAAAATGTATTTCCTGTGATTTTTCGTATTGGTAACATTGTCCTGGATACTTAACATGAAACCCTCTGTCTCTGGATATATTGTACCATTCTTAAGCCAATATAGTGAGTCTGCTCTATTAACTTCTTCTCGTTGGAGGTCATTGTAAAATCTCCCGTGCAATTCTTTCTGTGCCCAATTTTTCAACTCGTCTTTGACATTTTGATATTCTGGTTGTATCGTTGTTGACTTTAAGTTTAAGGGAGTGTAGTTATCGTCAGTGTTTACGATAGCACGGTGTAGGTTTTCAGTATGGTTATGAAAGTAGGTTCTAAGATTTTTTATCTCAGTGGCACATACATTATGTATATTTAAAATACCTCGGCCACCCAAATGCCTAGGAAGCATGAACCGATGTTTTGATGCACGTGGATGATGCATTCTATGTTTCGTTAATTGTACTCGAACATTCCTATTAAGCTCTTCGAGATCAGTTTTAGACCATGCGATAATGCCAAAAGAATATGCAAGTATAGGAATTACATACGAGTTTATAGCCTTAACTAAGTTTTTGGAGTTTAATTTAGTTCTTAAAACGGCCTTCAGTCTTGCATGAAATTGGTTCGTAAGAGTTTGCTTCATCTTTTTGTGTTCCATCTTATTTGTGTGTAGAAATCCCAGATATTTATATGGGTCCCCGTTGGTCGCCATTGCTGAAATAATCATGCAGTCGAGCTCTACTTCAAGTGCATTTACAACTTTGCCTTTATGAACATTCACTATTTGACATTTGGAAAGTCCAAATGTCATACCAATATCTTGACTAATACTATGGACAACTTTCAATATATCTTGTAGCTGAGTGTTGTTAGAGGCATATATTTTCAAGTCGTCCATGTAAAACAAATGGCTTACTGTTGCAGTTACAGTAGATGCTTTTAATTTGTATCCATGTCCTGTTTCTTTTATGGCATTAGATAGAGGATTCAATGCTATAGAGAACCATAAGGCACTCAACGAATCGCCCTGGAATATTCCCCTATGTATTTTAATATTTTCTGTCTCGACGGTTCCAGCGGAGGAGCGAATAACTAGCTTGGTGTGCCATTGTATCATTGCGTGCTTCAAGCATTGTATCATTGCGTGCTTCTTATTATTATTATTATTATTATAGTTTGCGGTTAGTAACGAAAATTTGACTCGAAATACCAAGTGTGTGGTATCAAATTATTCGTAAAAAATGCTTTTTCCAACTATGCTAATGAGCCACCCTCGTTCCATTTGAAAAAAATTGAGATATGATTAAAAATACGATTTGGCCATTTTCTAACTGGCCAGGATAAGACACTAAAAACATTAGATAATCATTTCCATTTTTCCAAGGCTCCTTGACTAAGAATTAGTGTTTTTAACACAGCCATGGCACTCTAGATTGAATTTTAAAATACAATTTTTTATTAAGCGAGAATGTCTAAAGTTGACATATCATATGTCATTCTATTCAGAATGTAATTTTCTATCGAATAAAGTAAAAAAATACCGAGGATGCCATTTAAAAATCAAAAGTTGTAGTCATTTCCGGTGAAACAGGAAGTGACCAAAGACAATTGAATACGTAAATCAATCCTAATTTATGTCATATACTAATATACCAAATCTCGTTTTTTTATCTCAAAAAATAAAAAAGTTATAGGGTTGAGCCACTTTTGAAACGCACCCGGTATACCCTGTTGCGTCTCGAAAGTGGCTCACCCTTTTTTATTTTTTAGATAAAAAACGAGGTTCGGTATGTTAACATATGACATAAGTTAGGATGAATTGACGTATTCAATTGTTTTTGGTCACTTCCTGTTTCACCGGAAATGACTACAACTTTTGATTTTTAAATGGCATCCTAGGTATTTTTTTACTTTATTCCATAGAAAACGACACTCCAATATGACATATAATATTTCAACTTTTGACATTTTCGCTCAAAAAAAAAAATACTATTTTAAATTTCAATCTAGAGTGTCATGGCTGTGTTAAAAATACTAATTTTTAATCAAGGAGCCTTGGAAACATAGTTTTGATCATCTAATGTTTTTCATGTCTTGTTCTGGCCGGCTAAAACATGCCCAAATCATATTTTTAATCATATCTCAATGTTTTCAAATGGAACCAGGGTGGCTCATTAGCATATTTGGAAAAAGCATTTTTTATGAACAATTTGGTACCACACGCTTGGTATTTCGAGTCAAATTGTCGTTATGAACCACATGTTACAATTACAAATAAACAATATTGTCAAAGTGTATGTGGCGCCATCTGTCGAAGAAGCGAGCAACTAAAATCGCAACGTGTCAAGAAATCTGAAGACATTTTTTGTTGTAGCGCCATCTCTTAATCAAGTCGACAAGTAAGCGAAGCAGACAATAGAATGTACTAGTAGATGGCGGACCCGTCCCGATAATTTTGGATTGTTCGCGAAACACTCACCACAGTTATATAAAAGGAGCGATTACGACATTTGGACAGTCTGAAGATAGTCTGAAGTCGAAGTTTGAATATACCGCGCTTTAAATTGTGAAATACCGTTAGAGTAATAGTAGTTGCATAAATTGTGTTGTAAATAGTATAAGTTGTGTGTACAGAGTGAGACAAATAAATTCGTTAAGTATTTTATCGTGAGTTTAAATAGTGGACCCACGGAATCCGTAACAATATGTACGAAAATGTCAAAAGTTGACATATGATATGTCATAGAAAACATATATAGAAAATGGTAGAAATATACCGAGGGTGTTATTTTAAAATTAAAAGTTGTAGTCATTTCCGGTGAAACAGGAAGCGACCAAAAACAATTGAATACGTCAATCAATCCTAATTTATTTTACATACTAATATACCAAATGTGTTTTTTTATCTGAAAAAATAAAAAAAATATAGGGGGTGGGTCACTTTAGAGAGGCACTCGGTATGGTGGATACATAAATCATTATGGAAACTGTCGCAAACATATCAACTACTTAATTTATCTTCTTTCTTTGTTGCACACGCGGTTCTTCTATTTTATCTATCCTTGTCGATGACCTATCGTCCAAATGCCAATTTTGAATATTAATTTGAAGAATTTAATTTGTAAATTGCATATATTTGAACAATACATTGAATGTACTTGCACTTGCATCCTTGACTATATAAAAGCGATCGATTAAAGAGTAATTAATACAATAATTTTTAAAATAAAAAACGCCAAAAACAAGCGTCGTTCCACAATAGAAGTAAGATTATGACAAATGATTATGACAAGATTATCACAGTATGATTACTTTATGATGAAATGTTGGTTTCCATAACAATGTATAATTTGTACTTTCTAAACTGTATAAAATTGTAATTATTTTGGAAATACGTTCAACTTTTAATGCGCAAGTAGGGTCCTCGGAGAAGACAAACCTATTGAATGTTTCATAAGTGCAATAAAGAAGGTTAGAAAATAGCATGTCGTGATTTTGGAGACATCGTTTTTAATGCTAATCGTATGGCGTTTATATGCATCCACGTAAGTATATAATATATTATGATCTATGGTCAAATATGAGTTTTAATGTGTGTATGTGTGACCAATATATTATTATAATATGGTAAATGAGACATATACAGGGTGGTACGAACTGTATTCCGGAAACTTCGGCAGCATATTCTGCAGATAAAAATAAGTAAAAAAGTTCGTATAAATGTATGTATTAAAATGCAAAGTTTTCGAGATACAGGGTGTAGAAGTTTCATTTATATTTCGATTTTTTCCAAGTAATTTCTGAAGTAACGTCAATATTTGAATGAAAATTGGTGTCTGTGAATTTTTTTGGCATGAGAAATTTGATTTTGATGTCAATATGACTACTTCTTGTAGAGGGCACCATCTACATGTGTTTTAATTGTTTTGCAGAGAAATAACTTTTTGTCCGCACCTGTATAAAAGTACTGAATGAAAAAATATACATTTCCGTGACTTTCCACGTAAAAAATGTCTCTTTGCAAAAATCGCTACGAGTAACCGTTCTCAAGATATTTAGAATATATCTAGAAAAGAATATATTTAGAATATTGACTATTTCGTATACATGTCATTATTGACAAAAAATGAACACGTTGAGTAGACAGTTATTGGAATGAAGTAATAAATTCGGGATTTTTTTTTAAATTAATCATAATTATTTTGCGAAGAAATGATGATTGAAGATTCTGTTGAATGATGACAGGTATTGGTAATTTCGATTCTAAATATCTCCAGAACCATTACTCGTAGCGATTTTTCCCAAGAGATCTTTTTTACGTAAAAAATGTCGTAAATGTATATTTTTTACTCAGTAGATTTATACAGGTACGGACTAAAAGATATTACTCTTCAAACCAGTTAATAAATATGTAGGTGGCGCCCTGTACAAGTAGGAGTCATATTCACATCAAAATCAAATTTCTCGTATCAAAAAACTCCCAGACGCCAATTTTAATCCAAATATTTATGTTACTTCAGAAATTATTTGGAAGAAATCGAAATAAAAATAAAATTTCTACACCCGGTATCTCCGAAACTAAGCGTTTTAGGACATACATTTATACGAACTTTTTGACTTATTTTTATCTAAAGCAGAATATGCTGCCGAAGTTTTCGGAATACAGTTCGGACCACCCTGTATAAAGACATATCCTAAAAACAGTGAGTCACTAGCAAGGAATTTCATGTTACGAGCTTAGAGAATAGCACCTCTCTGGTGTTATAGGATCAAGTGGCTATTTTCGTATGTAGACCGCTAAAAATCCTTCTCACCGGATTTCATGAATTCCATAAGGGGTAAGGGTTCTGGCGTTCCATCTTTATCGATGGACAAGAATTTAGGGAAAACCATCGGTACCAGCAACGGATCGGACGCCGATTCATCTGTCAGCATTTTCAAAAGAATGGCCCGCTCTTTGTCCTTTATGGGAGACGACGATTGACCAAAAGTTTTTTCCTGTTTCTTACCCCCGGTACCACGATGCACGTATTCGATCGTCAGACGAATATGTACCGGCTTAACTGGAATAGATTGAATAGAGTCAAGCGGTGTAAAAACGAGAGAGGCCATATTTAGGTAAAAAATGAAACATTCAAATAAAACTACTGAAAACTTACACTCAGATGCAAAAAAAAACGCAACGGACAAATTTTTGGTCAAACGGAAAATGGATAAACTGTTATATTTTTGTTATTTTTAGCCCTATTTTCATGAATTTTTTAACAAACTGTATATAATTATATCAACTTTAATTTCGATACTCAGTTTTTTTTTTAATTTAGTATTTGGCATATTATACAGGATTAATCGAGGGGTTGTTTTTTACCTTAACTTTGACAGACCCTGTGCAATAATTTCGTGTGTAAATTTTCCTAAAATATAATTTTAGGGTCAGAACCATTTCTCTTGAGCATTTTGTTTTTGGGATCATGTCAATACATGCCTTGGTTAATTTTTAAGAGCGAAATGAACTTGCCACCAACAATTTGCAATTTTTTCAATTATCATTTCGTTTTGATTTTCTTTTCATTATGACAATGCAGCTTTGGTGATTATTGTGAACTATATACTACTATGAACTGCCCATCATGTTCGACGTTTGGGAAATGCTTGGCAGGAGGGTTAAGCCGGAGTCTCATGCATCCGAAATCCGATGACATGACGATCCGACGGTGCTCCTATTGGTTGAAATATTTTGACACCAATTTTTATCCGATATTTTTAACTAATCGTCCGACGTCATATAAAGTTAAATTTTGTTTAACTCTTGTACGATATCGTGTGTTTTTTAACCTCACTTTTTTTGAAAACATTGGTTTTTCAAAACAAGTTTAGAGAGAAGTGGGTAATTTCGGGATATTTGGCGAGGAAGTTATTTTTATAAGTATTTCTCCAATAATACATGACATGAATCTCTATTCAATGCAGCAGAAAAATGTCAAAACTATATCAACGTATATGACGTTAATTTTCGTTGAGCGCATGTTGAGCGCGCACGCTCTTAACGATTTCCGTATTCTCGTCTAACGCGCTTAGCGTCTTTACTGATTGCGCTGAGCGCTTTCAAAACGGTTGCCTTAAAGGATCGTTTTGCTTGTCGAACTGTCAGTGAAAATCGAAAAAATTGTGATTTTGTGCGTTATCTTGCTCTTTAGTGAAAATTACTACTTCTTCTATAAATTCCTCAATAAGTAATTGATAATTTACGACTTGGCAGCTATAAATATTGTTCAAAACATCGAAAATGCTGAGAAGCGTCTTCAACACTTCCCTCGTATAATAAGAATAAGGACATATCCATAGAAAAATAGCTTGACATAACTTAACAATAGGTTATGAAATTCACGTAACATTGACATTTTTCATTGTTACATCCGTCAGTTATCAATTTTTGACTATTACCTACATTAGAAATGGTGATGTTGCCAATATGTGCTCAACGCGTATCCAGAACACGATACGCATGGCAACGAGAATACCAAAATCGACTGCTTTGCGTTTCACTGATCGAATACTTGCGCTCACCGCTTTGAACGCGTAACGTTTTTATGTTAAAGTTACAGAATTCGGGCCCTGGTCTTTTTTAAAAATTACATCAAAAGTAATGACAATTGAAAAAATTGCAAATTGATCGTGATCAGTTCATTTCGCTCATAAAAATTAACCAAAGCGTGCATTGACATGATCCGAAAAACAAAATCCTTAGGAGACATGGTTCTTACCTTAATATTATATTTTAGGAAAATTTACATAGGAAATTATTGCACAGGGTGTTTTAAAGTTAGGATAAAAAAACAACCCCTTGATTAACCCTGTATAATATGCCAGTTACTAAAGTTTACAAAAAACTGAGTTTACGAATTAAAGTTGATATAATTATATACAGTTTGCTAAAAAAAATCATGAAAATAGGGCTAAAAATAACAAAAATATAACACTTTAAATTTGACCAAAAATTTCTCTGTTGCGTTTTTTTGCATCTGAGTGTATATTAAGTCCGGTTTCTTGTATAATCTTTGTGCGATGTATAATAAAAAAAATGAAATTACAAATTAGTCCTGTCAAATAAGATTTATTAGAGTGGTCACTTGGAAAAAGTGTTGGAAAGCCAATTATTGATTTGATTGGTTCATTTGACGTGAAAGAGAAGTTTTCTAGATTTGCACAACCGGTTGTTTGGGCGGAATATTGGGGCACCCTGTATAAAAAAGGTTAAGTAGTAATCATTAATTAGGGTGAAACCTATAATGTTAAGCTTCATTCAGAACCTCGCAATTAGTGGATTAAATTAGTATTAATTCAATTAGCGTAGAAGTTTGTTCCTTTAATTTCAATGAGAGCATCCAGAACGTCAAAATTAGTGGTAGACATTTTCAATTAATAGAAAAAGTTATCAAACTTTTAACCTCCCCACTAATTATAAATTTTCAAAATTTGCGAGAAATGTCATTTTGGCCTTTGATTATTTTCCGTCAAGAGAAATTGTGGTTATAAATCAAAATTTGATTGTTTGGTAAGCTAAATATTGGGCTTTCTCTATGGATACAATTGACTAACGCAAGCTGTTGCTAAGATATTCTATTAATTTTAATTGTGTTTTTAATCATTGTGAATGATCGTAAACTAAAAAGTATAAAGTGTAATTGAAACCACTAATTTATTCTACTAATTGCGAGGTTCTGAATGAAGTTTTACAGAGAAACTGCCAAAACCTTTAAAAATCTGTGACACTGTGTATCTTTTATGATACATGATACATACATGATTCGACCTCTTGGACTAGATTCTTGTATGCTCTAGGCGATATGTCCCATCTTTTCGAACTAAAACTTTGCCATCTCACAACTATGACATCTTCCGGCTTGAAATGGTCAAAAATACTTTGCGAAGACTTTGCGATGTTGAACGTTCGTGTTAGATTCATGTAATGATCATCTGTCATTCTAGGTGTAAAATTATTAAAATTTGATTATTGGAAAAAATCATAATATAGTCTCTTGCATTGCCGACCTGAACATATACAGGGTGCTACAAATTCGAGGTGCGAGCATTGGTATCTCGGAAACCGTAATAGATACGAAGATCTGTCTGTTCAACATAAAAAAACTCATGGTAAAAACACGTACAAAATTCATCACAGAACTTCAATACGCTCATGACTGTGCTCTAGTTGTAAATTGGTTACAGCAATTGCAAGAAATGTTGAACACATATACATGGGCATACGAGGCTTTGGGGCTTAAGCTGAACATCAATAAAACTAGAATCATGTGCACTCCCACGGAGGATCACAACAATGCTATAAAGATCGGAGAACAACTATTGGAATATGTTGCGGAATTCAAGTACCTGGGCAGTTTGATTTCGGAAAGGGCCAATATCGACTCTGAAATTCAGCACAGGATTAGCAGCGCCTCAAGAGCATTCTGGAAATTAAAAGACAGGGTTTTCTACAATCATGACTTGAGCACAAAAACGAAACTTGCAGTGTACCGAGTAATAATAATTCCCACCATGTTATATGGAAGCGAAACCTGGGTTCCGTACCGCCGACACATGAACGCATTAAACAAGTTGCAACAGAGACATCTTAGACAACTCTTAAGAATAAAATGGATCCATTATGTCTCAAACGTGTAGATCCTTGAAAAAGCTAACTGCTAAAGTATTGAAGTCATGATTACAAATTCCCGCTAAAGATGGGCTGGTCACGTATGCAGAATGCAAGAAAACCGCATACCAAAATATCTGCTTTACGGTGAGCTTTTAGACGGTAAGAGGAGGCCGGGTGGACAACTCAAAAGATGCAAGGATATTTTCCACGAAAATTTAAAGGGGATTAACAAACAGAATGAGTGGGAAGAAGCAGCTCACCACAGAACGGAATGGAGAAGAATTGTAAACTCAGTTAACAGTTACAACCAAAAAGTGAGGAGGCAACAGAGTAATGAGATTTTTGAATGTCCGGAGTGCGGTAGACAGATAACATTACGTATCGGGCTTTACAGTCACTGAAAATCTAATGAAAAAAAAGCCTTGCGTGACCATCTTCTGATGCGTGCCAAATATTCGTCAGCGAGTAATGGCAGTATGTATGTATGTATGTAGATAGGAAGATGGTTAAATTGGGACAAAGTTGCGCCTTTGGATGTTCCATACTACATACTACCAAAAAATCAAAACAATTTCAAGGATTGCTGTGTTTTTTTAGAAAGAACTGATTTTTTTGAAAGAAATTTTTATTTTTTCCTGTCGTTACTTTTTAGAAAATCAAAAAACTAATTGCACATTCTCATAGCCACTTTATCAGGGCTATATGATAGTATTTTTAGATTTTCAAATTAGCTGACAATTTGTGAGATACATAGGCCAAATTATTTTTTTTAATATGGACCTGCATTTTTTATTTCAGGTTTTGAAAGAACTTAATCTCCTGAGTACAATGATATGCCACACTTTACACTTTTTTTGTGTTTTGGGTATCTTGACAACAAAACTATTTAATTATTATTTAAAATAATTTTAAGACCGACTCTGTTTTTTTAAATTATTTAATCTGATATTATTCATCGCAACAATATTTATCAGCGCTAATTAACATTGCATAATAAAGAACAACAATTGAAAGATTCAAATAAATAATATTGAAGTCAGCAAATTAAAGATGCTATTATTAACTTTTTTATTGTGAATTTGAAATCTTAATAATATGCATAATATTATGGTAGTTATTATAAATAAATCAACTTCAACAAGCTAGTTTCTAATGGTCTACATGTTCGAAAAGGTTACTACATATTTATTATTTTTATTTTATTTATAGCTTTTTGAACAGATCTTCTTATACTTCCGAATGCATTTTGTACTCTTTATTGTAAATGTTGAGATATATTGATTTTACCTTTACAAATGACGTCAAGTAATGCCCTCCTGCTCCGCCCCTTGGCGACAGGTCCAGGAACCTCGCTGGCCATTAAACTGTGCTCTACCATTTCCAATCCATCTTCCGGGGAAATGATTTGATTGTTTATATTATATATTTATATTATTTATTTTATATTATTTAATGCATTTGATTTTCCGTATTTAATGTTTTACTCTACATCATTGTTAAGTTTGAAAGCTTATCAATATTGTAACGATGAAAAGATTAAATATTTAAAAAAACAGAGCCGGGCTTGTAATTAGTTTAAATAAATTGTTTTCAAATGTCGGAAATAAAAAAAATATATTAAATGTGGCATATTATAAAAAAAAGAATATTATAAAAAATGCTTTAAAATTCTTAAAGAGGTTATTGTTAAGGCAAAGAGCATATTCAATAAAACTTTTTTTTTGAATGCCCATAACAAGACCAAAGCAACTTGGAAGTTAGTTAAAAGTATAACACAGCAGGAATATAAATCACCTAGTGTATTCGCAAATTTTTCGGAAAAATATAATGAAGACCTTATCTTAAATAAACTAAACGAATATTTTGTTTCTTCCTCTCATAGAGTATTAAATAGTAACAAAACAGAATTTCAGATTAAAATAAATAACAATTCTTTATTCTTACTTCCTACAAATCCAACAAAAATTCAAAAAACTATCCTCAAACATCGGTTGGTGATGATGAAATACCGATTAAAGTTTTAAAAAAAGTATCGAATATTATTTCAACACCTATAGCATATGTGATAAATCTTTGTTTTACTACCGGATATTTTCCTGATGTGTTAAAGAATGCCCATGTCAGGGCTCTACACAAAAAGGGAAAAAAAGACCATGAGGAAAACTACAGACCAATATCCTTACTCTCAAATGTAAGTAAAATTTTTGAAAAAATCATATCTAGCAGGTTTATTGAATTCTTTGAGCAACACTCACTACTCTCAGACAGACAGAATGGCTTTAGAAAGGGCACATACGCGCAATTTACCAAGCTTTAGAAAAAATATTAAATTCATTAAATAATAACAACAAGACTTTAGCAATGTGCATTGACCTTTCTAAAGCTTTTGATAGAGTGAACCATTAAATTCTATGCAAAAAGTTGGAAATCGTGGCTTTGGATTTGATTAGAAGTTATTTAGAAGGTAGAACTCAGCAAGTAATAGAATATAACGACCATGGTACATTATGGAGGTCAAAAAAACTTTCTGTAAGTCATGGAGTTCCACAAGACTCTATTCTCGGTCCTTTTTTATATATAGTATATACTAACGAACTCCCACTGGTATCCTCTGAATATATTACACTTTATGCCAATGATGCAAACATCGTTTTTAGTGAGAAAGATAATTATGAACTGGAGTTAAAGGCTGTTAATACTTTGGAAACCCTAAATGATTACTTTTTGGCTAATGACCTTTTACTGAATGTTTCGAAAACACAGCTATTATTATTCGGAAACAGAACAAGGGAGATTATTAAATTGCTCTATAATGACAACGAAATTGTTTCTGCCAAAAATGTATCACTTCTGGGAATTAATGTAGATAGAAGGTTAGATTGGAAATATCACATAGCATGTGTTGTTTCTAATATAGCTCGTTTTAGTTACGCAATGAAAATTATCTCTGAAAATATATCTGAAGACGTTGCAATAACAGCATATTATGCCTATATCTGAAATACGCTATGGCTTGATCTTCTGGGGGAACTCATCGGATGTTAATAGGATAATGATTGTACAGAAGCGAAACATTTTCAAATTAAGTTATCGTGTAAAATTTTTTATAGAAAGGAAAATACTAACAATAATCTCTATGTATATTCTGGATTCGGTAGTATTTGTTTACGACAATGAAAGTCTCTTTAAAGAACCAGAGTTAAAACATCAATACTCTACTAGAAATAGAGATATGTTACAAACCGACAAGAGCAACTATACGTATGTACAGAAGAATGTGAAGCACAGCATTATAAAGTTATATAATACTTTCCCACTCTCAGTTACTGAATTACCTAGACCAAGATTACTGTTAACCCTAAAAATGTATCTATTAGACAAGGCATTTTATACGCTAGATGAATTCTATGCAGACCAGTGTAAGCTGTTAATATAGCATTTAATATTATTTGTAGTAGGTATTATTGTGTTTTCAATTTATTTTCTTGTTAAAATTATATAAATATTGAAACTATTAAATTATAGTTATGTAATACAGTATAAAGACTCTTCAGAAAAGTATTTTAGGAATCATGTTTATATTACGATACATTTAGTAGTATATGAGTCTTTTAGTATCTTGAGTTTTTTGTTAACATGTTCCACACCCATCTTGGGTCAATTTATGTAATTGTATTACTTGGAACTAATAAAGATTTATCTATCTATCTATCTATCTATTATTGTACTCAGGTGACCGAGTTCTTTCAAAACATGAAATAAAAAAGCAGGTCCGTATTTAAAAATATTAAGTTGGCCTCTGTATCTCACAAATTATCAGCTAGTTTGAAAAGCTAAAAATTCTATTAGATAGCCCTAATAAAGTGACTTGATTTTTTTAAAAAGTAACGACAGGAAAAAATAAAACCAATTTTCAAAAAATCCGTTTTTCCAAAAAACTCTGCAACTCTTGAAAATTTAAAACTTTTTTGATGGCCTTTTGGTGAACATCCCAAAGCGCAACTTTGTCCCAATTTAACCATGTTCCTACCTATTACGGTAACCGAGATATCAATGCTCGTACCTCGAATTTGTAGCACCCTGTATATAATCTAGGATTAAAATACACGACGTATTAAAATTAATAATAATTTTGCAGATATAATCTGAACTCACTCTTTCCAGGAGCGCTGATCAGAGGGACATTCATATATAGGCTGCATAGTTCCGATATACAGTTTAAGCCTCACCACACTTGGACTCGTGGCTACTCCTACTTTATCGCTTATAGAAAACAATAAGAATGGCAGGATCAATGTTAAGGTAAGTACAATGAAGAGGATTCCTCCTATGGTATACTTCAGTTTCCTTTTCTTCTTCCTTCCTGATTCTTTACTGGTCAGATTTTCGAATTCTCTTTCACACTGTAAACCAAAATCGAGGGAGTATGATCTATACCAAAGACATCTAAATAAAGGGAGACAAAACAATATACATTTTGTCGCGATCACGATCCGTGTTCCGCAAAAATCGATGATAACAGATTTACGCGGTATTATGTGGTAGAATACGGTTCGGAGTTCCAAATGTTATTATTGTTATTAGTGTTTTTTGGGTACCTATAGAAACTTTAAACTAAATATTTGTATAGGTATATAACTTTAATTAATATAACATTTTTCAATAACTTTCTTCAGAGAAATGAATTCCCTAAAGAATGGAAGAGATCCAAATTAACCCTAATAGAGAAACCCCGGAAGCACCTAAATGATCCACCAAAATATCGTCCGATTTGCCTCATTGATGTAATCGGGAAAGTCTATGAGAAACTCATCAATACGCGACTCTTGGAAGAAATTAGGAAGAAACGAAATGGTATGCATCAAAACCAGTATGGATTTGTAAAGGGGAAATCTACCACACATGCAATGAAGAAAATATCGGATATCGTGAAAAGAAAAGCCACTTGGCATAATGCTTTGATTTTAGTCGACGTTAAAAATGCATTTAATTGCGCGTCATGGGAAATAATTATTAAAGATCTTAGAAGATGGGGCATAAGTGGCTATTTGGTGAACATAATAAGAAGCTATCTTGATAATAGATTTATAGTTCTCAATAGAGAAGATGAAAGAGAGGTATTCGGTGGCATCCCACAGGGCTCGGTGCTGAGGCCAACTCTGTGGAACATATTATACGACAGTGTCATGGAGCTTACTGTACCAGGTGGGACAGAGTTGATCTGTTACGCCGATGATCTTGCTGTGATAATAACAAAATAAACGACCTCGACCTAATGCAGACTGTGGATGACACACTAAAGATCATAGCCAGATGGATGCGTGAGCACAGACTGGAAATAGCTGTGGAAAAAGCAGAGGCGATTTTACTGAGCCGCAAGAGAAAAGTTGACCATATAAGGTTTAATTTTAAGGATATAATAATAAATCCAGTAAAGCAAGTCAACTATCTTGGATTCCACATAGACCGTGCACTCACGATGGGCCTGCACATCAAGGAGGTGTGTCTGAAATCACAACGAACTGCTAAAGCGTTGTCCGCAATATTGCCAAACGTTCGGGGCCCAACACCAGCAAAGAGAAGAGTGTTAGCATATGCGTGCCAGAATATTATTATGTATGGAGCACCTGTGTGGAACGAAGCAACCAATATGCACGTAAATAAAAAAAGGTGCACAGAGAGTCATGGCTTTGAGGGTCTGCTCGGCGTATCGGTCTACTTCAACTGAGGCAGCCTTGGTGATATCGGGTCTGGTGCCCTTGCATCTTCTCTCAAGAGAAAGAGAACGACTCTTTCTCAAGGGTGAACACAACGTACATACCAGGGCAAGCAGAGAGATGGAGAGAAACCGCACAGTGCTACCTAGCAGTGGCAGGCAGAATGGGAAGTATCACAAAAAGGAAGATGGACATATAAGCTAATCCCAAATATAAATATGTGGATTAAAAGAAAGCATGGAGAGGTAAACTTCTATCTTACCTGTGTAAAATTGGAAAGAGGGAAGTCGCGCAATGCCGATACTGTGCTGAACCCAATGATACTCCAGAACACACAATGTTTGCTTGTCCAAGATGGGAACAGGAAAGATGTGAGGTACGCATGACGATTGGTGGCAACATCTCCGCAGATACCTTCTTAAAATCGGTAACTGAAAGAAGAGAAAACTTTGAAGCCATCTCAAAACTGGCCCAAAATATACTAGAGGCAAAATACAGCGAAGAGCAGGGGTAATGACAAAAAAGGAACAGTCCGGCGCTACTTGAGGAGATGCGTCCAGCGGGTCCAGGTAGACGTGGCAGGAGCAAGGGGGTGACGTTTAGTGGGTAGTGTCCTCCAGACAGCTTAAGGAGAGATTGAGACCCACACTCCGTACGTAAAGGTATTTTACACCTCCAAAAAAAAAAAAATTAATATAACATAGATTGTGCCAGTACACTAACCTTTGAAATTATTTTTAGTTTTCTAATTAAATTATATTAGGGAAATTATAATGACAACTAGCAACACCGCTGTGGATTCATCTTTACTACGAAATCGTAGAAATCTGTAGGAATTACGCTGACATTTGACGTTTTCATTTGTTTTCATTCAACTGATATTTGACAGTCCGCGGTTGTGAGTTTTCTGCGGTAGTTGAAAGTTTTTGTACCTTTTGAACAACTTTTTAATAATTATTAGTGTTTATTGCAAAGAAAACTATTTAAAGTAGTTTTTAACTTACTACTCTACGATGGTTCGCCAGTACAGAGTTTGTAAAAAGATGGACTATTCTAACCCGGAATAGAAATTTCGACGGTAAGTGTCATTACGTTTTTTACCTTTAGCCATGCTTACAGTAGCGTATTTAGATACTTAGTTATAAGTAGATTATTACAAAAATACGTATATTTTCTTATTTGTTGGCGCTTTCGATTGTGAAATTAGAGTTACCCTCAGTTAGACCTCAGACAAAACTAATTATAATGGAAAATTGTCTGAAGCAATCCCAAGCAATTTTTGATAAAATTCATCAATTTTTGATAAAAAAAACACCACTGTCACGCCACTGATAGAGCCAAATGACAGAAAGATAGGCGAAACTCAACCGTATTGTCATATTTATGTACCCATCTCTTTTTAACTCTCATAAAAGTGTCAAACCATGTATGATTCTAAAAAATTGAGTTTTATGAATGCAGTGTTCTGTCTACCCATTTAGATATCTTTGATCTACGAGCCCTAACAACTATATGTTGGGACAAGGTCTTTTTTTGCAATAAAAATAGTAATTTGTTAAAACGACTCAATTTTATTTTGTTTATTATTCTAAATTCAAACATTACAATAGGATCTAGACAATTTTACTATATTTTTATAACTTTGCAAACAAATCACTTTTGATAATAGCTTATTTTGCCAAAATCAAGCTAAATTTGCTGACAACTATATATTGGGACAGCACAACAAGAAATTTGTTTAATACGGAGTCACATCACCTTTCGCCTTAACGACTGCCTGAACTTTTAATGGCATTGTATTTACAAAAGATTGGCACATTTGAGGAGAAAAATTATCTCAAATTTCCTGCAGTTTTGTCCGTAAATCAAAAATTGTTCGTTGAGGGTGGTTTCTTAGATATTGCTTCATTTTATGCCACACAGTTTCTATAACATTGAGATCCGGACTACTTGCAGGATGGGATAGAACTTTTATATTATTATTACCGGACCAATTTTTAGTTAATTTTGCTGAATGGCACGATGCTCCATCTTGTTGGAAAATATAGTCTTCGTTTGGAAATAATTCTTGAGCATTAGGCAAAGTGAGGTCTCAGGTATATGTTGATATTTTTGGGCGTTAACAGTGCCATCTATAAAATTTAATTTACCCAAACCTCTTGCTGACATGCAACCCCAAACCATAATTAACTTAGGAAATTTAACAACCCTCTTTAAGCAATCTTTATGAAAGGCTTCTGCTTTATTTAGTATTATTGGTTTTCAATGATCTCCAACGCAAACATCAAATTTAGACTCATCGCTAAATATGACCCTCGATATGACCTTATTCCAATCATTTCGTGTCCACGATAATTTAGATTTTGCCCAATTGTAGCGATTTTTCTTTTGAATTTCTGTCAGTAGCGGTTTTTCTTTGGCCTAAAAGAATTTGTATCAATAATCTTCAGGTAATTGATTATCCACACAAAATAAAGTTTATGTTGTAAAACCCCAGACCGCATTTATGGATATACTTTCGGCAACATTCTCTTGATTTTTGTCGATTTCTCTTGATCTTTTTTTAAAAACCAGTTACAGTATTCCACTTAACTGTTACTTCGCGAAGAGTACTTCTCGCAGACTTGCAAACTTATACTAAATTTCGTAAATCTCTCTGAGATACAACTTTTGGCCTTCCCGAACTTTTACCTCTAACGTCTACATTGATCGACAGATTCGCCGTATTTTTTTATTATATTAAAGACCGTGGTTTTTGGAATACTTAAATCATCAGAAATTTTTCGAATTGTTTTTCCCGTACTGTATTGACGAATGATAATTTCGCGTAGTTTTTGATTTGTAGCTTTTCCACGGACCATTACTTTGAATTAGATTAACAAAATTGAAAATTAAAAAAATTAAAATTACTTACAGTAAATCTCACTACTCAAAGTATCGACTCACTTACAAACTGTCAATGCTGAAGTAAACAGTTTGCGACATTTGTGACGTTTATAGCAAAGCCGCCTATGATGATATTAATTATTTAAAAATACTTGTCCCAACATTTAGTTGTCAGCAAATTTGTCCTTTTATGAACAAAATCCGCTACTGTAAATATGGATGGATTTATAAATTCATAAAAATATTGTCAAGTTGTTTAGGATATATGGCTATGTTTATATTTAAAAAATTAAACATATAATTTTCAGTCATTTTGAAAAACCAGGGCAATAATTCCAAAATATGACCTTGTCCCAACATATAGTTGTTAGGGCTCGTATACTGTATTGTTAAAGTTCTAAAATTGTCATGGTAATGAAATTCTTGAAATGAAACTATAATAATAGAATTTTTCATTTTTAAATAGCTCTACTTAATAAAACGAAAGGTTTGAAAAGCAATAATTTTATTATCCTTTTGATTTTTAAGTAATATACGGTTAAATAATATAGGTTGAATATAACATAGCAAAGATTTCAGCAATTTTATAACAAACGGAAATATTGTTTTTGTGGCTTTTTCTGCGTAATATCCATTTGGTTGTATATCGACTATTGTTAACTTATAAACTAAATTTCAACTTTAAAAACGTTCTATTCATGATTTTACCAATATACCGATATAATAATAATGTTATTCAATATCATGTATATTTCATATCAAACTTCTAGTTGCGTAATCGAGGGCGCGATTTTAAATTAATTGTTGACAACCATGGAAATATTCGGCGCCGGGCTGACTAACTGGAACTTAAATTTCGCGTTGGGGATTCAGGTGGTAGCTCTCTCATTGACTTATTTCCTGACATTGTCATTCTTTTTGACACTTTAATTTTGTATTACGAGTTTTTGTTTTTAATAAATAGTGTTTTTAAGCTTAAAATATTTACTAGCAGATACTGTAGTCGAACATTGTTCTTTTTATTTTATGCGAAGTATATGTACGGGATGGGTCAAATTGGACGCTTTTAAAGGGAAACACCTTTTTCTATAAGAGATAGACAAAAACTAATATTGGAAAACGTAAAAAGATGCTTTGGAAATGTTTTCATAAAAATACAAAATTTTCCATAGCAAAAAAGTTACAGCGATTTGTTAAAAATGCACAATTTTGAAAAACACCCCGTAACTTCGAAACAGTAATAGATATCGATATGCGGTTTTCACCGTCATGATATTAATTTTCGTCTATCTCCTATAGAAAAGGGCGTTTCCCTTTAGAAGCGTCCAATTTGAGCCACCCTGTACAAGATAGCTGAATAGCCGTAAAAAACTCATCGCAACTTTATTAGAATATTTTGAACGGTTAGATTTGGTTTGGTTAGAAAAACGGTAGTAATGGTCCTTTATGTCCCTTAAGTGCTGTTAAGAAGGTGAGTTTTGTTGATGTAAATAATAACTGTTTATATATTTATAATTAATTTATTTTTGTTTCCGAAAATATTTTGATTAAATGAAAATATGTAAAAGTGGGCAACGCTGTGCCGGTCAAGCTTAATCACGTCAATAAAAGTTTATTTGATATGAACTATAGTTACCATTTGATCAAACATATTTGCAGTAATGTCCTCCATTTTAAAATACTCAGATACTCCTAGGCAAGTATCCGTAATTGTCCAGTCCAGCAAAGTTCGAAGTTCAAACAGGTAAGGGCATAGATTGTAAAACTTAAACGCAAACCTAGAATAATATTTTAACATTTTACTTATTAGGATTAAAAATCAAAAATTGGTATGATCAAGCAGCAACGTCTGTAAAACAAGTATTTTAAGAAAGCTGGCACTTTGATATATCTTTTACTATGCTCTATGGAATAGCGGGCAGGCCGTCTGGCTGCCGATAGATGTTGCGTTCACTACTGCGCATTGAAAGAAATTCCTATATTTGTATTTAGTCTTTTAAATACTATATAGTAGGTACTGAATATAAATCCTTTAAGTCTCCATAGCGCTGCGCGAAAACGTTCAATACCGGCTCGGGGTAAACTTTTTTTGTTTTATTTTCGTTTATTTTCTGACAGTATTATTAAATAACTGTTTTTTTAATCACCAAAATTACATTGAACTCTGGACTTCTTGCTTTATAGGCTGAGCGTTGTCGCGCCGCGCATTGGATACTTGTTCGATTTATATTCAATACTAGAATTAACGGACTAGATAAAAAAATATAGGATCATCTTTCAATGCGCAGTAGTGAACGCAACGTTATCGGCAGCCAGACGACTCGCACGCTGTTCCAGAGAGCATAGCAAAAGATATATTAAAGAGCCAACTTTCTTAAAATACTTTCTCGAAAACGTTGCTAGCTCTTATGGTGCGTTTAGATTTGAGCACGCACGGCATTCGTTCGCGCTCTCGGCTCCGTTCAAATTAAAAACTTATTTTTCGACGAATGCAGTGATCCATTTGTGCGCGCACAGCAGAGTTGTGTTGGCGAAAATAATGGACGACCAAGAAATAGTCGAGGCTGCAGTCATTGTTATGCACAGCTTAATTATTAAAAAGGAGAAAAATTGAAAACATCGTCGCTGGGTGGCAAACCCAAATTTTTATAAATAAATTGTTTTAATAAATTACTGCTACAACTTAGTGTCTGAGGAGGGCTATGATCAGTTCAAAAACTTTACAAGAATGACCAGACCCGACTTTGAATATTTACAAAATTTAATAACACCAAAAATTACGAACAAAAGATACACATTTTAGAATAGCAATTTCATTAATATCGACATATTCAATATTATAATTTTATTTACAAGATCTTGCCATGCTTTTTTTTATTTTTTAATAATACAAAGAATGTTTAACATCCAATAATATAGGCAACTTTTCATATTCTTCAATTAATAATAACGAAGATTCATTGATCCACTCCATAATTTTAATAAAGATAACGAAAAAAAATCACACACGCACGCACGAAGGCAGATAAAACAAATTGCCGGTTCAAACTGAGCGTTCGCACACACATAAAATCCCTTTGAGCACGGATCCCCACCAAACGGCTCACGTTCGCGGCTGCTCGCGCACAGACAGATTCAGAGTGAGCGTGCGCGCACAGCCGTTTACACTTGAGCATTCGCGGAGGATCAGTGCGTGCGTGCTCAAGTCTAAACGCACCATTAGATTATACGACATACGTTGGTCATGCTCATTCAACTAGGCAAGTACATTATTTTAAAATTCATCAACACCGAACAGTTAACATCGAAAAATATTTTAGTTTCATTGATTCAAAAGAAAGCGTTGAAGAACAACTCGAATTAAAATGTTGTGATAACGGAGAAAGCGGTCAAAATTTGTAAATTATAAAATACTAAAATTCTAGATACTAAATACGAGGGTCAGGTTTGAATCATACTGTACGACCTGTACGTACCTATTAAATGTACCGTATCTATGCCACAAGAAATGCATGGATATCAACATGGGGTACCCATTTCTTATTTGATACGCGGATAACAGGAAGTATATACATTTTATAACGTAGAAAATTTGTACAGGGGGCGTCTCGCTGAATACTCTGTAAATAAAAAAATAAGAAAGTAAGTAACTGAATAAAAAAAATACCATATGATAAAACAAACGGCTGGGAAAGGACAATCGATGATAAGTTTGACGGGCTCAATCTTTAGACGTCATTTCGTAAAAATTGACATTAAGCTTGTCAAAACATACATACCAATAATTATAGAAAGGGTAAAAAAGGATAGAACGTTTCCAGATACACAAATCTAGTTACTACACCATTTAAAAATAACGTTTACTTAATATAAAAATAAATTACAACTTTTGTCAGGCCACTTGGTCATAAACGCCATTAAAATTACTTTTTAAGAAGAGTACGGGCTAAGTAGTGACGTCTAGACCTTGACGTCGTCAAAATTAGCACCTGTCTTTCCTCAGCCGTCTTTGACGCCGTTTTTCTTTATCGTAAGGTACTATTAACATACTACCTGTTGGTTACCATGGGGTAAATTACAAAATACCACATATGATAACTAAAAACTTGGAAAAAGTGAAACATGATCTTGATGAATCGTCGTTTTCCTTTGTATATCCATCTGTCTATTACCATCAGACTTATCTGTATCAAAAACGTCACTATAAATTCCATCGGAACTTTGTTTGTCATCATGAAACCTACGATACCGTGCTTTTCATGAAGAGACTGAAAAAATGATATATAATATACACTCAGATGTAAAAACACGCATACGTAATGGAGAATTTTTTTGTCCAGTTTATAGAGTTATAATTTTTATCCCTATTTTTATGATTTTTTAGCAACTCCGTTGCAATAATTTAGTGAGAAAAGTTTTCTAAAGCGTTATTTTTCGGTCAGAACCATGTCTTCTAAGCATTTTGTTTTTTGGCTCAGGTCAACACATGCTTTGTTAAAATTTTAGGACCGAAATAAACTTGCCACCAGCAATTTTTATTTTTTATGAGGTGGCTTTCTTAATTATTGTCGTAATGGGTTAGTCCTAAAAATTCAAAACGTGTTTCTATAGTAATATTAATTTCGTCTTCATTTTTTTGATTGTAGAATGTTTAGGAGGGGAGTTCATCACCGCAACCTTACGGATCTACCGTGTTCCCCTTTCTTGAGTTATAACGAGCTATAAGTCATCATATAGTTCAGGGCTCTAACAAAAGCCAGTATCTGAGACGGCTCTACAGAGTCCAGCCCTCCATCCTTGATATTAGCCGTACCAAAGTTCATGGCACAAACGGTCGTCGTCTTGGCGTGTCAGTGATAAGGTGTTCTGATGTTTCCCCATTTTCCCCACAGAATCTTCATTCGCAGTTGTTTCTCAGCGTCAGCATACTGAGGTGTTCGTTGAGGAGACAGTGTCCTGTTAGAAACTCCGTGACAATCCGAAGATTGTTTTTACTTAAATCAAGGAAAATCTTTGATTTTTCTCGGTCTAGGTAGGTTCTGAGGAACTTTTTGGAGTGTTTTAGAATGTTGAACGACACCCATTCCAGGTTACGGAAGGAGTTTTCCAGGTTTTTCAGTTCCGCTTCCTGTTGGTTCCCGCTTGGAAAACAGAACGGTTCTGGTCCAGTTAATGGAGTGTTCGCTCCTTTTCTAGCTAGATCATTTGATTATTTTTCATTGCTTTCTATCTTTTGGTGAGCAGGCACTCAGAGTTGAGGGACTTTATTTTCTTGCCTAATTTGTTGAGCTTTTCTAGACATTCTTTGACCAACTTCGAATTGATGGTTACTGAGTTGATCACGTTTAGTGTTGCTTGACTATCGGATTCATTCTTTGATAGATTGGTATTGATAGAATTTTAATTAATATCATATTTTTTGCTGTTTTAATATGTATCAAGCATTAAATTTATTTAGTTCAATTCTACGGAAAGAGAAATACCGGAAAAAAGGAATAGTTATCGGAATGTGATGCTTTAACAACAGTAAAAAATAGAGGACGTTAAACAAAATTAATAATAACCATTTATCAAAGAATAAAATCTAAATTATATTACCATAGAAACGCCCTTTGTTTTTTTAGAGTTAAGAGAAAATTCAGACATGTCATGTTTCATTCATGTTTTTTTTTAATTTTCTATAAAACGGTAAGGAAATTTGGAAAAGTATAAACGGGATTAACCATTTTAGAACAAGCAAATTTTTTTATAAAGCATGAATTTTTCTCAAAATGTCAATAATATAAAAGTTTTTTCTCTTGTAAAACAATCCGGGGATATACTGTCTATCAAAGTTGAACTGCTTTTGATTTTTACTACTATTCCAATTGCATTTCTTACCCCAAACGAATTGAAGTAGAATATCATGATAATCGTGTTGATCAGGTCGCACAAAAACATAGGAGTGTAGACATCTACTGGAACTTGTGCAGATGAAGGTGATAGCATTTGCTGTATGAACATCTTCATTTGTTCGCCGTATTTTAGCAACCTAATGAAAAGAAATAAATGAAGTTAACTAGGTTATAGGAATGTTAACAAAGCAAACTTAAAGTTTTAACAAGACAATAATATATTTTTTAACTACAGGTCAAAGTTTTATGAAAAAAGACTCAAAGTCTTAGTCTCAGGGTCCCTGAGACCTTTTTTTCTACTTTTTTAATTTTTAAAATTACCGTGTTGATTAAGTTGCTTGTTTCAAGAGATTTATTTATATTGTTCATAACAGACTAGTTTACGATTGACATTTTCTATTAATCAAGTTTAATAAATTTCAAAACTTCTGAAATCAAACTGACATACTGTAAATATGTCATTTAAATTGACAAATCTAAAATCTAAAAAATAATTTGCGACATCTGATAAAAATACAGTGGTTCAGCTTTAATAAGCTGCCGTACGCTAGATGAGTCTGGTATAGAATAAAATAAAAATGCATTAATTAGTTAGGGTCTATATAGTAAACTATGCATTTCAGAAACCCTAAAATGGAACAATCTTTCCTATTTTACCTAACGGGTTTAGTCTGTTGCTTTTTTCTAGAAATTTATTTATACTGTTCATAACAGACAAATTCACCATTCACACTTTTTTATAGATTACCAAAAAAGAAATTTTTGTTTTCTGCACAACTCTAGTTTACTACTTCCGGAAATTAACAGCAAAAGACTTGCCAAAATCAAAAACCGTACACATGACGTAACTATGTTATTTAAACTGATAAATCTAAAATCTATAAAATAATTTGCGGCATCTGATAAAAATACAGGGCGTCTACTTTAATAGAACAGGCTACTGTCCGTTAGATGGGTCTGGTACAGAATCAAATAAAATTGTATTAATTAGTCAAGTTCTATGTAATCAACTATGCATTCAGAGACCGTAAAATATGCTCTTATTTCCTATTTTACCTGGGTTTAGTCTGTTGCTTGTTCGGAAAAAATTATTTATTATTTTCATAACACACAAGTTTATGATTCACATTTTTTTATTGATTACCAGAAAAAGAAAAGAAATATTGTTAATAGCAAACTAAATTTGACATGAAGACTATTCGAAGGCAATGTATGCTTCGAATATCTTCACTTAGCATAACCACAATAAAGATAGAGTCATACATGTATGTACATGCGCATTGCGAATATTGTTGTCACTGGTCGATTTCAAAAAAATACAGAGACGGCAAAATTGTAATATTATATTATTATAATATTTCATCTCTGGTCATCTCTTTCTTTTTATGGTTATATAATAATATAAACATATGGAAGAAACTGAAAAGTTATGAAAAAATTGTGCATAATCATTATTAGGTACTTATTTTTTTACAATCGAAAATCATTTTCACGAAGTTCAATGTTTTGACTGCAAATTGGTAATGTTGGAACATTTTTAAAACCATGGAGAATCGAAATCCTTTATATACATTCTATGATAGTTTCTGTTTTTTTTATCGTTAATTCTCCTTTATTGCACTAAATTGTGATATGCTCCTTGCTGTTTTTACTTTTTAAATATTTCATATGCTCCAATAATTATTGTTCTATATATTTTTTTCTTATATTTATACAAGTATAAGTATACATCAATAGATCGTCTACCATGCCAAAAATAAGTAGTATGCTAAAATGGAAACCGCATGGAGAGAAACAAAAGTAAAATTCTTTATGCAAGTGACATTTTGAACATGTGTATAAAAACATAAATATCCATAGAATTAATTCAAATTTCGCTGTTTTATTAACTACGTAAATAAAAAACGTTTTTATTTTGCGATATTTGCAATTCGCAATTCGCATGTATATGAATCTACCTTAAGATACAATGCATAAGGTAGAAGACTCAGGTAATAGATTTTTTCTACATAATCACGCTTTTTAAATGGCAATGGACAGGAAAAGAGCAGTGATACTGAAGAGAAAAAGCCAAAGATACTTTTACAAGTGCCAAAGATACCCTACTCTAAGATTGGACTACATCATTAGGGGAGAGTGTTGTACCTAGGACCGGTCTGTACCTCGGGTCAGTTGATTTTCTTCCTTACCGACTGTCGATTTCTCTTCGATTTGGCTAAATTAGTGGTTCAAAGGTCTAGTCAGTAGATGGCAGCAAATTAAACTTGTGAAGAAATTGTCGGGTGGTGACTTGTAGAGTGTTTTGTGTTTTGCTTGAATGTAAGTAAATTATTTAAGTGTTAGTTATCTGTTAACATCCGTGTCAATTGTAAATATATGTATTTTTTTATTATTTACAACTGAGAATAGATGTTTAGGCGTAATAAATATGAATGTATTTTTTGCGTGAAGCCATAACCTAAAATTATAAATCAGAAAACAATTAAGATTTTACAGCTGTGTACCTTGGGTCACTGACAGGTCGTGTACCTTGGTCCGGACCAAGGTACAAACTTCTTTAGAATTAACATTATTTTGACTTTTATTTGAATTAATCGGAGTATCTGTTACTCAAAGAAGCTTTTTATTGTTTCAGACATGTTTCAGATAATAAAATGCCGCGAAGTAAAGTAGGTGCCAAGAGGCCACGTATAGACTCCCAGGCTTTAATTGCAGCAGCAAATAAATGTATAAGCGGGGAGTTATCAATTAGGGAAGCGGCAAAGTGCTATAACGTGTCAAAAACCACATTGATCAGGCATGTAAAATCCTTCAGACATTCTGAAGCCACAGAATTTTCATATGTTGCTGCCAATAATGTGAAACAAGTTTTTAGTAGACAAGAGGAAGATGAATTAAAAATCTACCTTCTCACTGCTGCGCGCTTGCATTATGGTTTGACTAAAACTGAAGTTCGTACTTTAGCATACCAGTATGCAATTGCGAATAAGAAGCCTCATCCGTCTTCTTGGGACCAAAATAAAATAGCTGGCAAAGAATGGCTGAGGCAGTATCTTAGAAGACATAGAGATTTATCACTTCGTAAACCCGAATCCACAAGTTTGGCCAGATCGACATCCTTCAATGCGGCAAACGTAGTTTCTTTTTTTAGGAATTATAAAAAAGGCTTGTCTCGTGGAAATTTTACGCCAGAAAAAATTTGGAATTGTGACGAGACAGGGCTAACGACTGTCCATGTACCACCAAAAATTATAGGACCTAAGGGTATAAAGCAATTAGGTCAAATTACTAGTGGAGAGCGAGGTCAAAATGTAACCTTTATAGCCTCAATAAATGCAATTGGAAATCATCTACCACCAATGATGATATTTCCGAGGGTAAATTTCAAGCCCCATATGCTAAAAGGTTGCCCAGTTGGAACAATAGGAGGTGCAAATCCGTCCGGCTGGTTTAACGAAATATTGTTTTTGGAATATTTGCAACACTTTCAAAATCATGTCAAACCAACTGTTGAAGATCCGGTCATATTACTCATGGATAACCACGATAGCCACGTGAATGTCAATGCTATTAATTTTTGTAAGAAGAATGGAATTATTCCGATAACGTTTCATCCCCATACGAGCCACAAGATGCAACCGCTCGATAGAACAGTTTTTGGGCCAATGAAAACATACTATAATACCGCCTGCAGTGAGTGGATGATTATGCTCCTGGACAACCTATCACGATTTACGATATAGCTGAGCTTGTAGGTAAGGCATTGCTATTAAGATAAGAGTTTAGCATTATGTATTCATAAAAATTCTTTGCATTTTAGGTAAGGCATTTCCAAAAGCATTCACTACATCTAACATTCAGAAGGGGTTCGAGGTTAGCGCTCTCTATCCTGTCAACGAAAATGTTTTTGAAGAAGCTGAGTTTCTGTCGTCATATGTAACTGATCGACCTTTCAGCCAGCATACTGACGAACGTAACGATATCAATGTTGAAGAGGAGGGGAAACAAACTAAGACTGCAGCAAATATGGCCACCTCTACTCCATCTACCTCAAATACACTACAAGCCGGAATATCAGGAAGTTCTATTACACCTGAAATGTTGCGTCCCTATCCAAAGGCACCGCCTCGCAAAATGAAGTCAGGAAGAGCCAGGGAAAGTCGCGTATACTCACCGACACGCCAGAGAAAGATGAAATTGCGGCGCTTAAAAGAGAAAGACTCATGGCAAGGTATCATCTGAGAAAGTACAAGCAGTTAGTAAGCGAATAACGACAGAAGATATTATAAAAAAATGTACCAAAGAGAGTTGCTATATATGATAGCGAATCAAGTTCAAGTAATGAAGAGACGTTTGAGGACTTAGTAGCTAGAGAGGAAGAATTATTAAATGATCAAAAGTTATACGATTTATCTGAAAATGACGAAATTCAAAAAGGAGACTTTGTTTTAGTAAAAGTAGCGGGAAAGAAATCTTTCACTTATTATGTTGCCGAAATACTAAATAGTGGGAGTAATAATGAACTTAAATATTTACGCAGAATTGTAGATTCAAATAAGTTTATTAATGACTCAACTGAAACATGATTTTTTGCGAACTGATATTGTATGCAAGCTGCCACAGCCGCACAAAATAAGCGGAACTGCTCGTCACGATGCACACCTGCAGTTTAATGTTCAATTTAGTGGGTATAACGTAAAATAAGCTTTTATATGCGAAATTAATCATTAGTTGTTCATAATGTTCTGATTATTTCAAGATCTTAAATAAAAAATTTCAAAATTTGTTATGATATCTTATTTTTTTATAACCGACCCAAGGTACAACATATGCTGGTCCAAGGTACATTACCAATTTGTACCTTGGGTCAGTTTGCAAGGGTTGACTAAAATGTATTTTTTAAACTAACTACTAAACTTAAAATCTGTATGAAACCCAACTTACATAGCTAAAGAGCCAAAGTAACTAATGCATTGGTTAAACTGCGCAAATATATAATTCTAGATTTTCTAAAAACATAAAACTAAAAATTGACCCAAGGTACAACACTCTCCCCTACAAATAAAAACAGGAATTAACTTGCACCAAACATTACAACAACGAAACGCGTTAAAGAATAAAAGGATTGTAAGATAAACCTAACTGTAAAGCAAAATATGATAATGATGAGCTTTATGCGGAGGTTGATGTGTGCAAAACACTATCTCTTTTGGCCAGTATAATCATGGGTACACCTGTGAAAATTCTCTTTATTTTGTCCAAATTTATGTAATTCTGAATACATACGGCAGTGTTATTTATTAAATCGGCCTTACTTAATTACTCACCCATGCGACACAGATGACGGCAAGTAATCTCCAAGTTTTACAACGCTGGTATCTATTGTATAAACTTTTTCAGGTGGCGATGTTGCAGTATCCGTATTCAATCTAAATTTATTTATTATTATTAACATTGTATTTATAGATGTAAATTAATCAATGCAATTAGAAAATCGTAAAGTTTAGCTAGAAAGGTCCATCTAAAACCGAGTGTTTCTCAAAAGTGTCTCGCCTCTATAACTTTTTATATTTTTGCAATGAAAAAAAAACGAGATTTGGTATGTAAGTATATGACATAAATCAGGATTGATTGACGTATTCGATTGTTTTCGGTCACTTCCTGTTTCATCAGGAATGACAGCAACTTCTGATTTTTAAATGGTAAACTCACATTTTTTTAATGTATTCGATAGAAAATAACTCTCTGAATAGAATGACATATCAAATGTCAACTTTTAATATTTTTGGTTAAAAATCCCAAGTACATATATGGTACCAAATTATTCGTAAAATATGCTCTATCCAAAATATGTTAATGAGCCACCCTGCATCAATTCGAAAAAAATTGGCGCCGGGAGGCACGTATAGCCGCCCATACTAAAATATATATCTCAAAAACTGCGACTTTGACTGATTTTGATGTTATTACAAATTTTGTTTTGGTTAAAATCGGTTCAGCGGTTTTTGAGTTATCGTGTTACAGACGGACAGACGGACAGATAGACAGACAGACAGACACCATGAAAATATTTTGTATTTAGGTCATTTATGACCCAAGTAACTCATTTTGAGTGAAATTAAAAAAACTTTTTTTTTTGCCGATCCTAATAGCCTACCATACCTATTGGTATGGTCGGCTAAAAATGAGTTATGATTAAAAAATGCGATTTAGCCATCTTTTAACCGGCCTGGATCAGACACGAAAAAAATAAGACGATTAAAGCTTGATTTTCATGCATGCATTCGTTGTCCGACGATACGATGATACGATATTAATTTTATTGGTTGAATTTAAAGGCTTCGATTGGTTAACCGTTTCTAACCAACTCTTTATATTCAACCAATAAAATTAATATCGTATCATCGTATCATCGGATAACGGATGTATGAAAATCAAGCTTAAATCTGTTTTTCCAAGGCTCTTTGATTAAATAATAAACCTTACTAATATTATAAACGCGAAAGTTTGTATGTGTGGATGTATGAATCTTTGTTGCTCTTTCACGCAAAAACTACTGAATTGATTTTAATGAAACTTTACAATAATATAGCTTATACATCAGAATAAGACATAGGCTATAAATTACGAGTAGTTTGGTACTTCGGTAGTTCGGTATATCGGTACTTCGGTAGTTCGTAGTTTGGTAGTTCGGTTACTTCGGTAGTCAACGTATACCTTAGCCACAGCAACGCGTAGACTGGTCTGCTAGTATGATTAGTTAATTCTATTTAAAATACCATTCTAATTTAGAAAGCCATTTTTTACCAAACAAAGTAAAAATGCCTAGGTTACCATTTAAAAAACCCAAGTTTTAGGTGATCCTGGTAAAACAGGAAGTGACTGGAACTATTTCTAACAACTGGATATCAAACTGGACATCAAACTGGAACTAACTGAATACTAACGTATTCAGTTAGTTCCAGTTTGATGTTTCAGTGAATCCTGATTTATTATACAAGGTGTCCCAGAAATATGTGCAGGTATTTTAACTGGTAGTACAGTTGAACTCAAGAAACACGCCTACGAGGTTTTTTTCGTCAAAAAAAATTTTGAAAATTTTTTTGGAATTTTTTTTAGTTTTTAGTTAAAAACATAATTTCTTGATAATGTGGCAACGTAGGTAGTAAACTAAATTTACAAGAAAAAAAACTACAAAAGATCCAGTGGTTCGGTTAGTAAGTTAATATTTTTTTTTGGAAAATAACCCCCTTATTTTGGACTTATTTGAAAAACGATAAAGAGAAAATATGTTTCTTTTATCGAGATCTACCACCCCTTAAAATACTTGCACTTATTTCTGGGGCACCCTGTATAAACATATCAAATTTCTCTTCAAAAGTCCTATGGATGGTTGGTCCGGACCGAAAGAAAATCTACAAAATAGTTTTAACAATAATTATATATTATTATATAACAGATAGACTAAAAATCGCTGAAGCTCTAATAAAAAGACGCAGTTGTTGAAAAAGATTGAAGAAATTTTTTGAAGAAGAAGATTTAGATATTTTAAATCGTTTTTTTTTCTTTGTTCTTTGTGTTTTTTTTGCTTCCGACGACGGGAATAGACATACTTCCCGATACATTAAACATTTTTTTGTTATTTAGGCAAATTTGATTATTAGTAAATCACCGCTGACAAGTTAGTTTCCGTTGGATTAATGCAGCGGTGTTTAGAATACATAATACTACTTTATTTTGTAGATTTTCTTACAGTGCAAGTTGGAAAATAAATATCCATAGAACATTTTGAAGAGATAGAATCAGCCACAGAGGTAGAGACATTTAATACCAAATTTCGTTCTTTTATCTGAAAAAATAAAACAGGGTATAGGGTCACTCCTATACCCACGCTACTCACCCCTCGCCACTTTTGGGAATCACCTGGTATACTCTGAGAAATTGATTATTTTTAATCTTTATTCCGCTAAATTGTCTAAAGGATATAGATTTTGACCACTCACAATGTTTTATCTTTCAAGTAATAATTGCCATCTGTTACCAATGTAGTTGGTCGATAGTGGTGCGGCTTCCACAGACCCAATACCTGTAGAACTCCTCTGGAATTAATAATTTCGATTAGTAATAATCTGCTTAATTTAGTCATTAATCGTGCGAATATACGGTAATTGCCAAAGCCATCTAAGGTAAACGAGACAAAACTATAGTTCATATCAAATAAACTTGTAGTAACGTGATTAAGCTTAACCGACACAGCGTTGTCCACTTTTACATATTTTCTTTTAATAAAAATATTTTAGGAAACAAAAATAATTGTAAATATATAAACAGTTATTATTTACAACAACGAAACTCATCTTCTTAACTCTTCACTTAGGGGACATAATGCTGAACATGGCTGGACACAACTAAGAGATGCGATTCACAAAACCAGCGAAGCAGTACTGGGAAAATCCAACAAAAAGAAACAATCAGACTGGTTTAACGAAAATCAAATGCATATACAGGCTTTATTGGAACAAAAGCATAGAGCACATCAAGCCGTCACTGGAAATCCACACAATCCAAGACTAGCAGACAACTTTAAAGCAGCCAACAACGCGCTCCGAAGAAACCTGCGCCAACTAAAGGATAACTGGTGGTCGCAAAAAGCTAGTCAGATTCAGGAGTATGCCACGCATCACGACTATCGTAAATTCTTCGAGGCTGTAAAAGAAGTATACGGTCCAACTAAGAAGGCAAGATGCCCAATCATGGCACAAAATGGCGAACTTCTAAAAGAGGAAGAACAAATCAGAAACCGCTGGAAAGAGCATTACAGCCATATCCTTAACCAAGAAAACAACCCCAATATGGAAGCACTCAACATAATACCTCAGTATAACAGCCTCGATGTATTAGACATTCCAATAACAGAACAGGAAATAAAGGACTGAGCTTAAAAATAACAAATCAGCTGGCTGTTGCGCGATTCCGGCGGAAATCTATAAATGTGCAAGTAAAGAACTTATTGGTCATCTTAAGGCTCTCTTTGATGTCATATGGGAAAGCGGAAACTTTTGCAACGCGAATATAGTGAATATATTTAAGAACAAAGGAAGTGCATCAGACTGCGGAAACTACCGAGGAATTTCACTACTGGCTATCGGAGGAAAAATTCTTGCAAAAATTATGTCAAACCGCCTGCACCCACATATAGAAAAAATCCTCCCAGAATCGCAAACGGGTTTTCGCACCAACCGCGGTACCGTCGATTCCATATTCTCCATCCGGCAACTACAGGAAAAATTAAAAGAGCAGCAGTCTAAACTTTACGTTGCATTTATCGATCTAACAAAAGCCTTCGACTCTGTGAACAGAAATGCAGTTGGGGCAATTATGAAAAAGTTCGGAGTACCCATCAAATTTCTTACAGTGTGTAAAAGCCTCCATATCAACAACAAATCAGGAGTGTCATATCATGGATCATTGAGCGATCCCTTCCTAACAAACACAGGCGTTAGGCAGGGATGTGTCTTAGCGCCTCTCCTATTCAATATATTCATGGCAGCGCTCTCCATTATAGTGGACAGCAAACTGCAGGAGAGAGGTTTGGGCATTAGATACAGATATGACGGCGGTCTGTTTAACATAAAAAGACTCAGGGAAAAAACACGTACAAAATTCATCACAGAACTTCAATACGTTGATGACTGTACTCTAGTTGCAAATACGTTACAGCAATTGCAAGAAATGTTGAACACATATACATGGGCATACGAGCCCTTGGGACTTAAGCTGAACATCGATAAAACTAAAATCATGTGCACTCCCCCGGAAGATCACAACAATGCTATAAAAATCGGAGATGAGCTGTTGGAATATGTAGCGGAATTCAATTACCTCGGCAGTTTGATTTCAGAAAAGGCCAATATCGACTCTGAAATTCAGCAAAGGATTAGCAGCGCCTCAAGAGCATTCTGGAAATTAAAAGACAGGGTTTTCTACAATCATGACTTGAGCACAAAAACGAAACTTGCGGTGTACCGAGCGATAATAATTCCCACCATGTTATATGGAAGTAAAATATGGGTGCCGTACCGCCGACACATGAACGCATTAAACAAGTTGCAACAGCGACATTTTAGACAACTCTTAAGAATAAAATGGTTCCATCATGTCTCAAACGTATCGGTCCTTGAAAAAGCTAACTGCGAGAGTATTGAAGTCATGATTACAAAGTCCCGCTTAAGATGGGCTGGTCACGTATGCAGAATGCAAGAAAACCGCATACCAAAATATCTGCTTTACAGTGAGCTTGCAGACGGTAAGAGGCCGGGTGGTCAACTTAAAAGGTTCAAGGATATTTTCCACGAAAACTTAAAGGGAATTAACAAGCAGAATGAGTGGGAAGAGGCAGCTCACAATAGAACGGAATGGAGAAGAATTGTAAAGTCAACCAAAAAGTAAAGGGGCAACAAAGCAATGAGATTTTTGAATGTCTGGAGTGCAGTAGACAGATAACATCACGTATCGGGCTTTTCAGTCACAGAAAAGCTCATGAAAAAAAAACGCCTTGCGTAACCATCTTCTGATGCATGTCAAATACTCGTCAGCGAGTAAGGGCGGTATTTATGTATGTAGGGGACATAAAGGGCTATTATTACTACCGCTTTCCCGTTCAAAATATTCTAATAAAGTTACGATGAATTTTTTACGGCTATTAATCTATCTAAGCGCACTAAAAGAGGTTCTAAAAAGAACAATGTTCGACTACAAGGCCTGCTAGTAAAAATGTTTAAGCTTAAGTTATCAAAACATAATTCATTTAACTCAGAAACTCGTAATAAAAAAATAAAATGTCAAAACGAATGAAAATATAAACAAAAAAATAAATAGATGCGTGGCAACTTAAATTTTTTTTTCGCTAGAACTACCACCTGAATCCCCCAGTGGAAAATTTAAATTCTAGTTAGCCAGCCCGGCGCCTAATATGTCCACGGTTGGCAATAATGAATTTAAAAATCGCGCTCTCTATTACGTAACTAAAAGTTTAATTTATATCGAATATATACTTATTTTCTATTGCTAGTTTATTGACTAAAGTAGTACAAACTAAATTAAGGAACAATTTAAATTACCTATGGAAGAATAGGGAAACCAGCATTGCTATGGCAAACGTGGTGCTCATATTCCTCTGTAGCCCTATCATATATGGCGGGTAGAAAATATTACCGGAAAAGGAATCTACATTCCAGTCGGCTATGTCCATTACGAAGAAACTTTGAATCAGGAGCGTTATCTGTAAAATTTAATTTGGTCAGACTTGTCAGTATTTCATCTAATGTCTATAGCTATAAATGGGTTTTAAGGTATAGTTGATAGCTTGTTACTCTAACAAAAGTTTAAAGTAATGTAGTTTGTCATTAAATATGTCTTTAAATTATCTAAATCATGGTAACCTACACTGATCGGCTCGAAAAACGGACAACGCTTGAAAATTTTTATTCATTTTATGTTCCATATAGCTTTTTATAATGGGCCGACTTTGACGATTTTTTAGTAAATTTTTGGTGAAGGTAGAAAACGTTTGCATCCACATAAACGGCGTGGTCCGAACTGTATTCCGCAAACTTCGGCAGCATATTCTGCAGATTAAAATAAGTAGAAAAGTTCCTATCAATGTATGTCCTAAATGTTCATTATTTTTGTCTTCACACTTTCATGTACTTAACAACGTGACAGTTTCTAACCTCTCTCTCCTAGTTTAATGTTGACTTATTCGGTATAGGGTTGTCCGGAGACTGATCTGCGAACATTTCCAGCAAAATTCTGTTTAACCATAGTAGAATATAGAATGTAGAACGTTTAGGAGGGGAGTTAATCACCGCGACCTTATAGATCTATTGTGTGTTCCCCTTTCGTGAGTTATAAAGAGTTATAACTCATCATATAGTCTCAGGGCTTTAACAAAAGCCAGTATCTGAGAGAGCTCCACAGAGGCCAGCTCTCCATCCTCGACATCAGACATACCAAGGTTTTTTGGCAGGTCGTCGTCTCGGCGCACTCAGTGATAAGGTGTTTTGGTGTTTCCCCATTTTCCCCACAAAATCTGCATTCGCCGTTGTTTCTCAGTTTCAGCCTACTGATGTGTTCGTTGAGGAGACAGTGTCCTGTTAGAAACCCCATGACAATCCGAAGATTGTTTTTACTTAAATCAAGGAAAACCTTTGATTTTTCTCGGTCGTAAGTTCTGAGGAACTTTTTCGAGTGTCTTAGATCGTTAGAGGACACGCATTCCAAGTTACGGATGGAGTTTTCCAGATTCTTCAGTTCCGCTTTCAGTTGGTTCCCGTTTGAAAAACAGAACGGTTCTGGTCCAGTTAGTGGAGTGTTCGCTCCTTTTCTAGCTAGATCATTTGCTTTTTCATTGCCTTCTATCCCTCGGTGAGCAGGCACCCAGAGTAGGAAGACTTTATTTTCTTTGCCTAATTTGTTGAGCTTCTCTAGGCATTCTTTGACCAACTTCGAATTGATGGTTACTGAGTTGATCGCGTTAAGTGCTGCTTGACTATCGGATAGGATGGCAATTTCCTGTTTTCGATATCTAAGATAAATTGTACTCATCTTTCGATAGCGTAAATTTCTGCCTGAAGGATACTGGGGTAGGTGCCTATTGGTTCGGAGTATTTAGTTTTCGGCTCAAATACTCCTATTCCTGTCCCTGCTTTGGTTTTGGAAGCATCAGTATACCACGTGATGGTATGATCTTTTTTATACTGAGTAAGCGTTTCTTTCTTCTAATCCTTTTTATTACTGAATACTACAGTGAGGTGTTTCTCAAAGTTGTAAATTCTTGGTATGTCATCCACTGGGAGTTGAAGAAGTGGAATTTTCTTTTTGAGGGTGTTCCAAGCCCCCGACCTGAAAATTCTCCCAGTACTGTTTCCGTCAATGACCATTCTAATCATTGTCGCATTGGCATATAACTACCGACAACAATGTGCAGTGGTATTAGGTCTAGAATGACCTCCATTGCTGCTGTTGGACATGTTCTCATGGCACCTGTGATGCAAATACATGCCAGTCTCTGTACTTTGCACAGGTTTTGCCTTGCTGTACGTTGCTCTAGTTTTGTATACCAAGCAACTATTAACCATAGTAACTTTTCAGAAGTTGTAGAAAATATGGTACCTTCAAATTATTATAAACAAAATGTGACATGGAATGTGATAATGACGAATTCACATATTTGCTGGTATTTTAATTGTAGCTTTCTCTGGGCCGTATTGTACATTTTACTAATTTTAAGGTACATTTTTGCCAATAACTTAAATGCATATTCCAAATAAAACGAAATTCTACACAAAAGGACAACTTTAACGTCTCTTCAAAAATGTGTAATACAACTTTTGGATAAAATCACCTGGGGAGATAATATTTGACCTTTTCAAAATTTACATGAGATTTTCTGTCCCGTATTCCGATGCACCACACGGTATTTTAGTTTCTTTTCTTTTTGGGGTTATTTAAATTATTTTTTTAATTTTAAATTAATATTCGTCGTCAAATTCGTTGTTATATACTTTCTTTTTTATAGATACCGTACTCAAAGGGTAAAAACGGGAACCCTATTACTAACTTCGCTATCCGTCCATCCGTTTGTCACAAAGGTCTGTCTTATGAACCGTTATAGCTAGACAGTTGAAATTTTTACAGATAATGCATCTATGTTGCCGCTATAAGAACAAATACTAAAAATAGAATTAAATAAATGTTTATAAATATAAAAGTACTTTCACTAAACATTAACTTTTAAGTAAGAATTTTACATAGAATCTTTCAAGTCCTCGGTGGCCGCGTGGTTAAGCCGTAGGACTTTACGCTGCTATGACGTTGGAGCCGTAGTAAGGCAGGTTCGAATCCTAGTCAAGGCCACTTTTTTTAATCGTTTTTTTTTATTTTTACATATTTTTACATATTTATTTTTACTTTTTACATATTTATTATTGATTAATACAATTTTTAGTAATGTGTTTCTTCATTTTTTTAAATTACTTATGCGTGTATTCAAAATTTCAGCTAAATCGGAAAAAAAGTTTATAATAATATAGTGCCTAATGTTGTATATATAATGAATGGCACGGAACCCTTCGTGCGCAAGTCCGACTCGCACTTGACCAAGTTTATTAAACTGTGTATCTCTTTATCTATTTTAATTTTGTAATAAACTTCAATGTTCTTTGACCAATATTTAATTATGTTAACTTACCAAAATATAGGCGATGCCAACAATCCAGAAGGTTTTCGATGGCCTCGGCATGCTCAGCGAACCCCAACAAAAGACCATAATCAGTAAGGGTAGAGATATAAAATCTGAACGATAAACGTGTCTTACGATAATGCAAGCATAGCAAAACCATTCTGAATATGTCAGAAACACGTATAAAATCGCCCTCAGCAGTTTCGAATAAATGGAAAATAGAAATTCTTGCTTTTGTGGTTGAATGAATATCTTGCTAAAAGTAATAAATTAAGATGAACTATAAAATTGAAGAAGTCATTTGTTACACGACTTGCTTGTTAGTTTCTTTACTCATTGTTCTTATGTTTTAGATACACACCCTGTATATCTAAAATTTAGTGCGAGAAAGTCCAGTATAGTCGTTGTTAATGAAGGTATGAAAAAAAGTTACATATAGGTCATACCAAATAAGCTTTTAGTCACGTAATTAAGCTTGACCGGCACAGCGTTGCCAACTTTTACATATTTTCGTTTAATCAAAATATTTTAGAAAACAAAAATAAATTAATTATAAATATATAAACAGTTATTATTTACTTCAACAAAACTCAAGCCCTTAAAGTACTCAAGGGGCATAACGGGTCATTACCACCGCTTTTCCGTTCAAAATATTCTAATAAGGTTGCGATGATTTTTTTGCAATGGCTATTAAGCTATTGTAGCGTTTTTTTTAAAACATTATCACTGCGAACGGCAGCTTTTCGTTGGTAGAGCAGTCGTGGATAAGGTATTTCACTGGAAAGAAACTAATTAACAATTATAACTCGACATTATAAATATTGGGCGCCAGGCATGTACAGAGAAAGAAAACACAGTTGTATATTACTTAAAACTAATGACTATATTTATTCATGATGTTCTTAGATGGTACGTGACATTGTAGAGTTCTAATAAATATATAGTGGTTATATGTCAAAGAAAGTGGTGGTAAGAGTCGTACTAATAAATGAAAACAACTACGATAAAATACAAGACATGTAAAGTTTAAGAGAATATATGAAATGTAGCATTACTTTAATTAATTTGATATATTCCATATGATGCTAAGTCGAAGATGTTGCAACCTGTAGATTCTAGAATCTATGTTTGGTTATTCATCTGTTAAAATAGTGCGATAATAATATCTATAAAAGTAATACCATTACAAGATGTAATGCAATGAAACCTAAGATCTAAATTATATTTAGTATTAATTATTATATTAAATATTAAATCGACATGAATGTTCTTAACAATCTAACCACTAAACATAGTCTGTACGATATTATTTAAGATGTACGTTATTGTTTAAGACTGTAAATGTTTTAAATGTTAAATGTAAAACTAGAACTTAAATCTACACTTAGCTGTTCTTTATGTAATCTTGCTTTAAACAGTAACAGCGTGAGGTGGTCTCGCATCTCTGTACTCAGCCATCCAACACAACCAAAGGGGCCAGAATGAGGACACCATGAATTGACACAGCCGTAACTAACTAGCTTATAGCTGGGAACGAAGCAGCATGGGACTCAAGCTACATCCACGCTGTGGCACTTATATGTAAGAGAAAATCGTTCTTACTGGGGACACTCGTCCACAGGACATCCGTACATAAGATAATGTCCGTACATAAGACACTATCCGTACCTTGGACCTTAAAAATATGAAACTCTTGTTTAAAACCAAACAAGGTCTAATAAACAAAATAAACCTACCTCGAAATACTTCCGAGGGCTCAATAAATAATAAACAACCTGTCCTTTCTTCCATGTGACATTCTGGAGGACAAAAGAAAAGGGACGCCAACGCGCCAGCAAAATACAAATACAAGTTGGGACATCCGTAACTCTACCCTGTAGCCTCGAAATAGCAGCTGATTCAGACTATACAGCAAGATTCAAACAATCACCATTTCTAAAAAAAACTGAGACTAATGGCGTCTGGCAGGCCAAACGGTCAAACCAAAAGTGCCGTTAAATCACAGAGAGTTGACAGAAGCGATGTTGACAGCGCGCGCCTCCACAGAATAGTGAAACGATAGCAGGGTTGGCGACTAGGGAACGTAAAAATTACGCCAAGCGTACCAACAAAATGATCAGGCCTGAACGAGAGGGAATCCGGTGACGATAGGTCAGACATTATATATTATATGTAAAAAAGACATGTAACGAACTAAAAATGTTACACTATCCTTGTACACTTTCCACTAAAAGAGGTTCCCACTAAAAGAACAATGTTCAACCGCAAGGTCTGCTAGAAAATAAGCTAAAAGTATCTTAAAGCTAGCTTAAAGTATCACAACACAATTCATTTAAACCAAAAACTCGTATTATAAAACTAAAGTGACAAAACGAAAGGCAATATCAGGAAATAAATAAATAAATGTGGCAACTTGGCATTTTTTATAGTAGAGCTACCACCTGAATCTCCACCGGGAAATTTGCTTTTAGTTAATTTTTAGTAAGTCAATTAGTTTTAGTAATTGCAGTTAGTCAGTCAGGCGCCGAATATGTCAATGGTTGGCAACAATGAATTTAAAAATTGTGCCATCGACTACACAACTAAAAGTTTAGTTGGTATTGCTTATTATATATAAATGTTGCATAGATTCTGTGGGGTAAATGGGGAAACACCATTCAGAACACCTTATCACTGAGTGCGCCGAGACGACGATCGTTCGTACCTGCATAACTAAATGAACTTTGGTACAGCTGATATCGAGGATAGAGAGCTGGCCTCTGTAGAACCGTCTCAGATACTGGCTTTTGTTAAAACCTTGAGAGTGTATGATGAGTCATAACTCGTTATAACTCAAGAAACACAATAGAATAGATCTGTAAGGTCGCGGTGATTAACTCCCCTCCTAAACATTCTATATTATATTACATATCCTAAAATATTTTGTTTTATACAGGGTAACCCAAAAATGTAATTATAAAGTTATAGTTTTTTTTTTAAATATATATTATAATACATAATCATCTGCCTTTGGATATCAAGTCGCTTTCATTCTTTCCCGCATTTCACAAAGCTCTAAAATCATACTTACTGGAGAAAGCCCTATATGAGGTAAACGACTTTTTTGTTGATGTTTAATCTTGAACAATTTTGAATTTTAAAATTTTGATCATCTCACACGCTGGTTAAAGGTCTAGTATTTAATATTTTATAACTCTTAAATGATTATTTCCATTTACAGTTTTTCTATTGTAAAATTTTATTGATATGTCTTTTTCTGTGCTCTACAATGTCCATATATGTTTCTATTTGTAATTTTAATGACGTACATTTTTTTTTGAATTGTATGATTTTTATTGTATGGTATTTTTTTTTATTTGTATTTTTTTTAGTGCTTTTGTTTGTTTTTTAAATGCTTTGTCGATGAAGCTATTTTGGCTTTTTGTACATAAAGCTTTATTTATTTATATTCATATGGCTCTTTTAACAGTAAAATATAGGGAAAAACATGGAATTACAGCCACTCAGGTTTTTACCAGTTTTAGAATAGACTGTATTTAATAGATGGATAGATAAAGTGATGAATAGATAAAATTGTGACAATACTATATGCTGAATTTTATGCTGAACCCAATTCTGCACAGAAAAATGACGGTTGCAATTTTTAAAAAACTTAGATTTACAAAACTTCATATCAACAACGACGATATTGGACTTCCTCATACTAATGGATCACCCTCATGGTTTTTAGGTATTAAGATTGATTTTCATGCATCCGTTGTCCGACGATACGATGATACGATATTAACTTTATTGGTTGAATTTAAAGACTTCGGTTGGTTAGAAACGGTTAATCAATCGAAGCCTTTAAATACAACCCTTGTATATATATTTTTAAAGTAGATCAACCTAAAACGTTTATGGACTAAGTCTACTTGATGGCAGGACCGGTTTCCCTACAGAAAAATATTTTTTGTTACTCTGAATTTTGAAGCTACCAATAAAAACAGAGAAAATAAAAATCGATAATTTTCGGACTGTGCCAATTGGTTACTAATCGACCAGATACTTTTTGTCTATTAGATATGGTATAAAAGCTGGCAATTATACAATTCGACCATTGTAAATACCCGACAAATTCTTCAAGGCCGACAAGGCCGATGCTTCTCACTGATAAGAAATAAAAATGTTTGTTTAGATAATTTTCGAGGTATTTTTTCTTTCTGAATGCACATTTTAAAGTATTTTATATTCTTTGTCCCCTTGACCTATTATCCTGGTTGCACGTATGGAAGTTCTGTTTCTTCTAGTTTTAGAAAATGTTCTTATTTCTTTTTTCTTTGTAGTTGTAGTGTAAAATTAGATTAATGTATTAAGTTTAATTATAGTGTTTAGTGTAGCATGTTAATGTAGTCTACCAAAAATAGTTTAGTAGCGTTTTTATAGTTTATTTTGTTGTTAAGTAGTAGGTGAAGGGATAATTTTGTTATTTTTTCTTTTTGTTTGATAAGTTAGTAAGTTTGATTATTTGTTCAGTGTAGAATACAATAATAAGTAGTTGTGTAGTGTTTTTAAGAGATTATATTCGTTTATTTTGTAGTTGAGTAGTAGGTGAAGGGATAATTTTGTTATTTTTTCTTTTTGTTTGATAAGTTAGTAAGTTTGATAATTTGTTCAGTGTAGAATACAATAATAAGTAGTTGTGTAGTGTTTTTAAGAGATTATATTCGTTTATTTTGTAGTTGAGTAGTAGGTGAAGGGATAATTTTGTTATTTTTTCTGTTTGTTTGATAAGTTAGTAAGTTTGATAATTTGTTCAGTGTGGAATACAAGAATAAGTAGTTGTGTAGTGCTTTTAAGAGATTATATTCGTTTATTTTGTAGTTGAGTAGTAGGTGAAGGGGTATTTGGGTATTTCTTCTTTTTGTTTTTCTTGTAATAATTGTAGTAGTTCTATTAAGTATTGTGATAGATAAACTATATCTTCCTTCAACTTCGTTGAAAAGTGCGTTATCATATAATCTTGGTTTTCTGGTAGCAGAATATACAAAAAAAAGTTTGATCAAATTTATTTGAAATTAAATTAATCTAGCCTTATTAATCAAATTAAACTAGTCAAATAATAATAATAGTTAGTTTCAAAATACTATACAGGGTGAGTTTCCTACGATGTTCTCTATGAGTATCTCGGAAACTACTGGAGATAGAGAGTCGGTTAATGGGGAAAGAATTGCAGTTTTGTGGGGTCGTAAATATGCGCCTTTCGGATTTTTGAAA